ATTTATCACATAGGGCTTTTTGTGTGAGGGTTGTAGATTCTCCCACCAGCTCTGATGACTTTAGCGACAGCTCCAGACCTCACAGGTCACTGTTCAAAGTCTGTGACTTGTTTGTTTGATTGACCCCGCAGGTATTTGACCTTGCTCAGAGCCAACAGTGGTAAAGTAGAAGAGACGCAAGCCGCTCCAAATGAGGTGAACAGTCAACCAAGAAACAGGTGGAGGTTCAGCTAAGACGTGGGTCAAAGTACATCTGTTTTTTTTTTTTTTTCTTGAGACTCCTGTGCAGTCTTGAGACTCCTTGCTGTGCAGTCCAGGCTCGCCTCACACTCACGACTGTCCAGCCTCGGCCTCCCAAGTGCTGGGGCTACGGGCCAGAGCCAGCGATCCTGGCTGTCGTTTGGGGAATTTTGCATACTTACAGTGAAAGGGAGAGATGATATGAGAAGGAAGTGGTGACTGAGCGTGTCCTGTCCTGAGGAGACAGCTGGAGATGGGATTCAAAGCAAAGTGGCTGCATCAAGGGGAGCTTTCAGTTAGGCTGCACTAGAAACTTACAGATGGCTTAGCAAGGAAGCAGAGAACTAACCTCACGTCAGACTAGCTCAGACATGCATGTGTGAGCACACGCGCTCTGGGCGTTGAGCCCAGGGCCTCCACGCTCAGCACACACTCTCCCACTCTCCGATAGGGAGACCGCTGGAGAGAAACCCTGGGCAAACTCCTGGGCATTCGTGGATAGGAGGGAAGGTACTGCTGCCTTCTCAGAACCTGAACGAGAAAACCAGGCGGTCTCCCTCCGTGTCTCGTGGTTACCACCGTCATGCACCTTTGTGCACAGCCGCTGGTGGCTTTCAGCTCAGGTCCCCACCATTGGCCCAGCTGATCCAATCTCTCAATCTGGCTATACTCAGGCCAGGCCCCTCGTTGTCTCATCAGCTCTGGCTAGAAGGTGACAGGTCCCTTTGCAGGTAGGTAGGGCACACCTTCTGGAGCTCTCTAAGAAAGGACCGTGTTCTGAGAGGCAATGACAGGCTTATTTCCTATAGGTAGCAACCGTTTTTTGGTGGGGTGGGGGTTCTTGCGCTAGGGCCTTGCTGTCTGGTTTAGGCTGGTGAGAACTTGCAGTGATTTACCTGCCTCAGCCTCCGGAGTGCTGGAGTTTAGGTGTGAGCCGTCACGCCTGCCTGGTATGTACGAACTTCTTATTCACGGTTATGTTACAGGTAATGTACTGCTTCCCTGTGAGATAAGGAGGTTACATGTAAGCAGCAGGTCAGGAACTTGAGACCACCCTGCTAAGTAAATCAGATACACAAAGCAGAATATTGCCTGGTTTATTCTATATGAGAAACGTAAAATACAAATCAAGAGTAAAATAAAGGGGACAAACCAGAAAACAGAAACTGTTTGGAAATGAGAAGAGAGCTGGGAAGAGAGGGGTAGGTGGGGTAAAGGATAAAAAATGACCAGGATATGTCGATACACACATAGCAGCTCCCCAGAGTGAACATCACTAGTATGTACTACAGACATACACTAAGAAGGTAAAGTGAGTAAGTCACTAGCTAGTACCAAGAAATCGTTGTCCTCTGGCCTGGTGTGGTAGCACATGCCTGTAATCCCAGCACTCAGGAAGCTGAGGCAGGGCAGTCACTACGTCTGAAGACAGCCTGGGCTACGTAGTGAGGTCAAGGCCAGTTTAAACTACATAGTCAGACCTTGTCTCAACTAAAATTTAATAATAATAGAGTTATTTAAAAAGTATTTCTTCTCTAAACCTAGTGAATACCTTGCTTATTACATTCTTTTTTTTTTTTTTTGTCTTTTTGAGACAGGGTCTTACTGTGCATTCAGGCTGGCCTTGAGCTCACTTTGTAGCCCAGGCTGGTCTCGAACTTGCAATAATCCTCCTGCCTCAGCCTCCTGAGTGCTGGGATTACAGGCGTGAGCCACCAGGCCCACTTTACATCATTCTTGTAGTGCTTTCACTGTAGAGGATTATAATACTGATTGAATATAAGGCTCATATTTTGCATGTCACAAAAATTACTATAATGCCTTAGGGTAAGTGATCTCAAATCTTTGTTAAGCAAGTAAAGGGTCAAATACTGCATGCATGTTAGTCGCTTCTCTGTGACCCAGCAAACAGTTTGAAGGCCTCTATGGAATACTGGTCACACTGAGTATTTGTAACACTGACATTTTAAAATCAAACCAAGGCCAGCCTAAACTATCCAGTGAAACCCTGCCTCAAACAAAAAACCAAGGCTAAATTATTTCTTATGGCAGAGTTGTGTACATGAAGTTTCCACATAAAAGTGACTTATTCCATCATATCAACACTGAAAGAAAGACTACCTTACACTCCATTCTTCTGACTAGAAAAAAACATGATCTTTTTTTTTTTTTTGTATCAGAAATCAAACTCAGGACCTTGTGCTTGCCAGGCAGGCGCTGTGCCACTGAGCTACAGCATAGGCCCCAAAAACATGTTCTTCAAGCATTCATTTGTATGTATCTATTCTCATCCAAGTACTACAGTTTTTAAAAATGTTTTTCATTCGAATACTTTGTAAAAGCCAGTTTGGGGGGTTCATTGTTGTGGCCGCTCCTGTTCATAACTCTTTCTTGTGAATCTACTTGTATCTCTTCTGTATTATAAATTGAAAGTTGTAATTATTTTGTTTGGTGAGGACAAAGCATGTTTAACTACAAAAAGGTAACTTCACGGGTCCTTTGAAAGCGGAGGGATTTGTAGGTTCATCTGCTCTGTTTGTGAGATACACAATTTCCAGTGTATTTTTCATCTGTTGGCAAGATTACGTTCTAAATAGAAGCTGTCACTTTTTGAATGACCTCATAGGGTGAAGTTTTTATTCTTTGTTCTTTGTCCTATAAATTTAGTTTCAGATGAGATAGGTCTGACCAGTGTACTACATTTTCAGAATTTCTCTGGCTGGGAGTGTTTCCTAAGAACAGCGTGGGAAGAATGAGATGTTTCTCCAGTGCTGGTGCTGATGTGGGACCCAGCACAGACGAGGTGTGCACTGCACGACCAAGCTATCCCTCCAGCCCTTCCTGCCTTTCTTAATAACTGTATTACTTTCCAGTCTTGCTACGTAGTTGAGGCTGACGTTTAGCTCACTGTGTAGCCCAGACTGGCAGCCTTTGTTAGTGTCAAACTCCTGATCCTCCCACCACAGGCTGCCTAGTGCCGGGATTATAAGCCTGTGCCACCATGCCTGGAGATAGGTAGACAATTTTCTTGTAATATACTAAGATTATGTAATTGTGAATTTAGATTTAACTCAAAATGGCAATTTAGAAAGTTTGTACTTAAATAAGTTTTTTGGTTAAATTTTAAAGAGAAAAAAATTAAAACATGGTAAAGCAGGGGCTGTCAATGCTATATACACTGTGTATTGTTATCTTCAGATCAGTAACTCAGACCACAAGACATCTGCATTTCACTGACCAAATAATACTGGCACAAACCTTTCTCTTCAGTGAGCCCAGAGAAATTGGTAGTGTAACTATCTTATTTTTATATACATATATATTTTTTTTTCTTTCAGCTTCTAATACTAGTGAGACAATACAATGTTTACACACGTGCATCTGATTTATTTCACTTATGAATATGGTCTCAAGCTGCATCCATTTACCTATAAAAGTCTCTGTTTTATCCTCCTTTATGGCTGAGTAGTACTCCATTGTATAAAACTAGCACTTCTTTTTCATCCATTCCTCAGTGGATGGACACTTAGGTTGTTTCCAGATTTAGCTATTACAAATTGTGCTGCTATAAACAAGGGTGCACACATATCACTATATGATGTTTTTAATTCCCAGAAGGGGAATAGCTAGGTTGAACAGGATCTCTAACCCTAGTTTTTTGAGAAATCTCTACACTGATTTCCACAGTGGTTGCACCAGTCTACACTCCCACCAGCAGTGGAGAAGGGCTTCTTTTCCCCACAGCCCTGCCAGCATTTGTTACTGGTTGATTTTTTTTTTTTTTTTTTTTTTTTTTTTGTCTTTTTCATTTTTATCGGTACCGGGGATCGAACTCACGACTGCCTGCTTGCAAGGCAGGCCCTTATGCTGCTGAGCTAAATCCCCAGCCCCCAAATCTACCCATTTTTTAATGGAGCTTTTGAAGTCTTCTATGTAGAGCAAATAACTACAGTTTAACTTCTTCCTTTCCTGTGTTTATTCCTTTTCATTCTTTCTCTTGTCTACTGCTCTGGCTAGTGTTTCCAGACTGTGTTGCATGAGTGGAGACAGTGGACATCTTTTTCTTGTTCTGATTTTACAGTGAAAGCTTTGAGTTTTTGTCCATGTAGTATGATGTTTGTTGTTGGTTTGTCATGGATAGCTGTTATGAGATTGAGATAAAAACCATGTATTCCAGTTTTTTTGTAGGGGTTTTTAAATATCATGAGTGGATACTAGACTTTATCAAAATCTTTTTCTAAATCTGTTGAGATGATCATATGATTTTTGTCTTTGGCTCTGTTAATATGATATATTACATTTATGGATCCATGTATGTTGAACCATCCCTGCATCCCTGGGATGAATCCCAGTTGATCATGGTGCATAATCTTCTTGATAATTTGGTACATTCTGCTTGCCAGTATCTTACTGATAAAGAAATTTTAAGGTGATAAATTCATCAGAAGTTAAGATATAAATTTCCAGTGAACACTTAATCAGAATAGTATTTTTATTACAAAGCTATTTTTCTGATTTGTAAAAGTGATACATGCAGGCTATTGAAAACTTGGAAATAAAAGCATAGAATGGACCCGGCAGTGTGGCTCAGTGGTAGAGCACTTGGCTGGCATGCACAGTACTTGGGTTTGACCCCCAGCATTGCCCTCCGTCCCCACATAAAAGTACAGAGGTAGAAATTAACCACTCATTCTATCAATGCGAAGTATAAAATTGTGCACACTAAATTTTTTACATTATAACAAATATTTTTATTACAGGAAATAAGACATGTGGAGCGAAAGTATGGATCAAAACCTACTTTGAATGTAAGTATAAATTTAAATTGTGTCTTAGAATCTCAAGCATTTAAAGCAAATCTAGTTGATAGCAATGCACACATTTCTGACTTGAGTTTAGGGAACGGGCATGTGGTTAGCACAGTGCTAGAGGGCCCGGCTCCATCCCCAAGACCTGCTCACACAAAGGTATTCTTGGACTTGAGTTTATCTGAAGGTCAACACAGGATTATTCAGTGGTTAAGAACAGCTAAGTATTAAATGGTAAACTCTTAGATTATAAAAAAAGTTCTGTTCCTGCATAATTCCTGCTGTTTCTCCTGGTTATCCATAGCCTGCTACAGAGCAACTTTCCTTCAGCATCTGGTCAGCTGGTGCTCTTTTTTTACTCTCCTGTTCCTACAGAATACTTACTGTATTCTGTGTGGCACATGCAGAGGACACATGGAGGGTTCTAGAAAAGAGGGACTGTCAGCTAGGATTAGACAAGAAAGGCTGGGGGTGGGGGTAGGGGTTTTAGCTCAGCAGTGTGAGTTCAATCCCTGGTACAGAAAAGAATCCAGTTTTAGGGCCAGGGATTTAGCTCAGCAGCATAAGTGCCTGCCTTGCAAGCATGCGGTTGTGAGTTCGTGAGTTTGATCCCTGGTACCAAAAAAAAAAGCTGTCATCCCATCCCTGGTTCGTGCTTTCTAGTGGGACCCCTTTATTTTATAAGGCTCCTAAAATTAGTAATCTTTCTGTGTGATCATCTAAAAGCTTAGTAAGAGTTTGTGACGCCAAGTGTAAGAAGAGAACTAGCACATTTGCTTTGGAGTATTAGGGAGCTTTTATCTCGGTTCCTTTCAGTGAGGAGCTTTTGTTCGTGGTTGTTCATTATGCAGTTAACAAGGGTGAAGTAACTTTAAAACTTTTTTATTACTGAGACGTTGAATTGAAACTTTAAGTACTGGCCTCCAAACTCCTGTGGAGAAATGGGAAGGATCTTTATGTTCATATATATTGTTCCCTTTTCTAGGTTTTAAGTCTTAAATCATAAACTGCTAGCATGAAGTAATGTTTTCAGCTGATCAAATGGATTTTTCTTCTGTGATGTACGAATACTTAATGAAAGATAACACGCATAAATTACCTACAGCAATTCTTTGCTGTCTTCTGTCTGGCCAGGAAGTGGTTATTGTAAGTGCCACCAGGACGCCCATTGGATCCTTCCTGGGCAGCCTTTCGCCCCTGCCAGCCACTCGACTTGGTTCCATTGCAATTCAGGCAGCCGTGGAAAAGGCAGGTCAGTAGGGGCCTTGCGTTTTGTGTCTGGGGCAGAATGACTCCGTGGAACACCTATTTTGTACTCACTGTACACATAACCTAGAAATGACATAGTGCTTGCATTTCTGAATTCCTTTGTAGAAGTCTTTGTACTGTAGTTAGGAATGAACACAAAAATGACAAAAACTATTTTTGCTACATAATATTCTATTTACTACTAGGTAATCACTGATTGTTAAATTGAATAAAACTTGGAAATGCTTGTTTTGGTATTTTTCAAAGGGATTCCAAAAGAAGAAGTGAAGGAAGCCTACATGGGGAACGTCATACAGGGAGGTGCAGGACAAGCCCCCACAAGGCAAGCAGTTTTGGGTGCAGGTACCAGGAATATACTTTTGTTTTTAAAATATTAAAAATGACAAAATGGAGGTCATTTTAATTTATGTAAAATGTTTAATGCATAAATTTGTAGATATTGGTAGAAAAATTTGAAAATTACAGTAACACGCTCTGTTCTATTTTAATTTTTTACAGTTGTTTCTGAAGAGTATCTCTGTTTTTGATGAGTATGACATATGTTGTTTGGTTTTAGGTTTGCCTATTTCTACTCCATGCACCACCGTGAACAAAGTTTGTGCCTCTGGAATGAAAGCCATCATGATGGCCTCTCAAAATCTTATGTGTGGACATCAGGTAAGGACATCTTCTTTTTCAGCTATTAATTATAGTAGTCTGGGAAGACATCAAAAATCATGCACATGCGTGCTCTCGAAGTGAGGTTTCATAAATTACTGCACTGTCTCACATACTCGGAATCATCTGAATTTGCAGTTCCACTGGAGCTCACATCAGAATGCGAGGGATGACTGTCATGTTTCAGCTGAGGCACTTCTGTCTGAGGATAAACCTTTAGTTAAGTCGTACTCTGAGATTAGATGATTAAAAAAACCTGTACATGCTGAATTTGCCAGAGTAAGGGTTTTGTTGTGTTGTTTTTGAGACAGGTTCTTACCTTATGTCGACGGCTGGCCTTGAATTTACAGTGATTGTCCTCCGGCCTTGGCCTCCCAAGTGCTGGGATCATAGCCTTGCACCACGATGCCTAACTGAGGGTTCCACTGTAAAGGGCAGTAAGTGCTGATGCGGAGATCAGATCAGTTAGACTCCGGCTTTCCACTGTTCTCATTACCTAGATCGCGTCTTTATCTCATACACATGTCCTTGTGACATGACCAGGTTAATAGTTGCAAAGTGTCTAAAAAGTCAAATGGTGTAGAAGATGTAAAATGCTCTTTTAGTGCAGAGAAATGCAGTGACAGTGGGCTCTACGTGCCATGAATGTCTTGGAAATCTGTCAGTACACGGGGCCGGAACGCATCTGAACTGAATACACACTCAGTGGTGTATTCATAGATCCTTACTGAGTGAGCATCTGTGTGGTCTCCACTGCTTCAGCTTTCAGTGCTGTGCAGTTCATACACACACACACTTCAGCTCCACTGTAACAGTAAAGTGTAGTGGTTAGAGACATTTAGAGCTAATTCAGACCCTACTTTTCCCCCTTTTACCAGAGTATCTATCATTTCACATCCACTAGCAATGGAATGGCAAGTAACATATTAAAAATCCAGTTATGTGCAAGGTTTTTTGGAAAGATTTCTAAAAGAACTGTTGAGAAGACTTTAAAAAGTTGACATTTTTATGGATACTTTCCCAAAAAGTTATAAAACTCTGCTTGTACAGGAACTATCATGAAGAATCGACAACTGGATCTGTCTTAAAAAACTTTTGCGCAGCAAGAGAAACCACCAGTGGTGGAGACAACTCAGAGTTGGGAGAAACATTTTTACCCGCTGCTGCTCTTCACACAGGGGCCAGGGGAACAGCCCAGCAGCACAGCACCTGCCCGGCAAGTGTGAGGTTCTGAGTTTAAGTCCCAGGGCCACCTGCCCCTAAAAGCCCTTGTACTCTGCCTCCTCCCTCGTCAATCTCAGTGTCTGTGATTCCACCTCTGCTCACCCAGACACAGCAGTACACTGAAGGCTGGTGACACAGCTCAGTGGCATGGCATTTGTCAGGCAAGTGCAATGTCCTGAGTTTGAATCCTGGTGCCATAAAAACAAAAACATGAAACCAGATCTCCCTATCCCAATTTTCTTTTTGGTCTTTTTCCTTTTTTATTGGTACCGGGGATCGAACTCACGACTGCCTGCTTGCAAGGCAGGCACTTATGCCGCTGAGCTAAATCCCCAGCCCCATTTTTCTTTTTTCCCCTATCCCAATTTAAAGACCCAGTCCAAAAATAGGCATCTGAAATGACTAGACACTTCTCAGATGAAGTAGAAACAGTAAATAAACACATGGAAAAATGCTCACGATCACTGGTCATGTGAGAGATGCAAATTAAAACAGCACTGAGGTTCTATCACCCCAGAAAGAATGACTACTATCAAGAAACCCAGCAGTGACGAATGCTGGCAGGGCTGTGGGGAAAAAGGAGCTCTTCTCTACGGTTGGTGGGAGTGTAGCCTGGTACAATCACTGTGGAAATCTGTGTGAAGACTCCTCAAAGAAGTAGGACTAGAGGTTCCATTTGACCAAGGTATTCCTTTTTTAGGTATCTTCTTGAAAGACTTAAAAGCATTATACCTCTTTGAAATATGCACACCCATGTTTTTAGCAGCAAAATTTCTGATCGCTAAATCTTAGAAACAGTCCAGATGCCCATCAACTGATGATTAAAGGTGTGTGCTTTAATACCAAGGAGTAGTACTATGCATATAAGCCTGAGACATTTCTAACTAAGAGGATTCATCTTGAAGTCATACTCTTCAAGTAAAATAAATTGGACACACATGTTTAAATACCAGATTGTTTTTCTGGTGTGAGAAACAATGTGTAAATGAGGACCATGGTGTGTAACAGATACTTGGAAATGGGGAAAGAAATGTCCAGATGGGAAGAAATGAGGGGGGAAGGAGAAAGGAAACAAAGGAAAAAGGGGGGGGGGACAAAGAAGACTTTGCAAAGGAGTTTGTCCTGGGAGGGGGCCTGGCACATTAGCGTCCCCACCATACAGTGTTATGCTACTGATAGAAGCATTATACAGTAATTGGGGAACACAACGCAACTGTTAAAAGCTTCTACTAGTTTTGGTGAGCAGAGGTAGAAGCAGACACTGAGACTGACAAGGGAGAAGGCAGAGTGCAAAGGGTGTTTTATACTAACCTGAGTCCTTGTGTCCAGTCAAGTGAACATTGTTATAGCAGTCTGGGAAGCTCAAATCATGGGAGCAGAAGGGTTACTGCCGTGACTTGAGACAGCTTAAAATCTTCTAGGAGACATTGAACTTTACGTGTCAATGAAATGAAGCATTAACCTTATATATATAAAAGTTGTCAGATACTGTTGGATTTGGATCTTTAATTCTCACATTTTAAACTTTCGTTCGGGTCAGCTGGAAAAGGGGATTTGGTGTGCAACACAGAGTTAGGACATTCACGTGGAGAACGCGCTTGTTGGTAGCTGTGTACTCTGTGTTCTTGGTTTGCGACTGATTTTTGTGTGTTGCTGGGCAGGACGTGATGGTGGCAGGTGGGATGGAGAGCATGTCCAACGTCCCCTACGTAATGAACAGAGGCGCAACACCCTACGGTGGGGTAAAGCTTGAAGACTTGATAGTAAAAGATGGGCTGACTGACGTCTACAATAAGATTCACATGGTAAATACTGGGTTTTAATGGGGAATGCCAAGATAGACTTGATTTAGTTTGGAGACTGAACCGAAGCGTGGGTCCTCTGAATGTTGACTTTAGTCACTCACGCTGGGAACTGTTTTATGCCCATTGGGCAGCCCGGCTCAGATGGGGGCCGCCTTCTGAGGGGCCCCCATGCCTTCTGTTCACAGCCCCTCGCTGCCTTCCTTCCCGAGACAGGTTCTCACTACCCGCCAGGCTGGCCTCACTCTTGATGCTCCCCTTCCTGCAGCCTCCCCAGGCTGGGTTTACAGGCATGTACCACCGCGCCTGTATGCCCCACACTTTCATAGGGCATCTTCTGATTTCTAAAACGGCAACTTCCGGGGTTATGCAGGTGTTTACAGATGAAACATCTAGAGTATTAAAAACTAAATTTAACTGCTAACCATTGATATAAAAATTGTGGTTTTAAAATAATTTCCAACGTATCAGGGTAACTGTGCTGAGAATACCGCAAAGCAGCTGGGCATCACAAGAGCAGAGCAGGACGCCTACGCGATTAGCTCTTACACCAGAAGTAAAGCCGCGTGGGACGCCGGGAGATTTGGAGACGAAGTTACTCCTGTCACAGTTACAGTGAAAGGTAGAGGGTAATGTTCAAAAATGTTTTCTTCTGCCTTTAGATTTTAATTTTTAGAATCTTTGCAATTTGGCCTGACCTCTACCCTTGGGTCAGCAGAGTGGGGTATGGATCCTAGAATGGGCGGGAGAAAATCATGGGGTGTGGATGTGTGGATATAAATTTCCTTTCCTGCTACCTTACAAAGAGGTCACACAGGGTCCACTCACAACAAGCATTTATTCAGGACGTTTAAGGCACGCAGAACAGAAGGGACACAGGTTGCCTGACACCTTAGTTACGCTTCTCGATGACTGTTTTGTCTTGAGTGGTTATGATTTAAAATGTTTTTGTTGGAGCTGGGGATTTAGCTCAGCGGCTTAAGCGCCTGCCTTGTAAAGCAGGCAGTTGTGAGTTCGATCCCCGGTACCGATAAAAAAGGAAAAAGACAAATAAATAAATAATAAAATGTTTTTGTTTAAGGTAAACCCGAAGTAGTGGTGAAAGAAGATGAAGAATACAAGCGTGTTGATTTTAGTAAAGTTCCAAAGCTGAAGGCAGTTTTTCAAAAAGAAAATGGTGAGTAGTAAAATAAAACTTAGGGAAAAAATGAATTGCATAGTATACCGATGCTGGAAATTGCCTAAGGACTTTATTCCAGTGGCATCTAGACATTTTTGAACATTTTTTAGATAGCAAACTCAAGTAAATTAACAGTATTTATCCAAAGCATGTTTAAATTAGCTTAACAGTTCGTATCTTTAAATTGCAAGGGGGAGACGAGTACTTTATGTTTTTCACACGCTATTCACCTTGAAAGTTTAGTAAGTGTAAATTACCTAAGGACTAAGCTGATAGCTTTGCTTTTCACTGGTCCAGTGCCTGCTTGACATGTAGTGGATTCTCACAAGTAATACCTGTTCCTTGAGCTGGGGGTATCATTCAGTGGTGCAGCATTTGCCCACAAAGCCCAAAGCCCTGGGTTTAATTTCCAGTACAAAAACAAAGTCAAACAAAGAAATACAGCTCTGCTACGCACGGAGACACATACCTGTAATCCAACACTTGCAAGGCTGAGGTAGGAAGATTGCAAATTTGAGGGCAGCCTCAACTGCACAACAGAGATCCTGGCACAACGAAACCAAAAACATGAAACCCAAACCTTTCTCTATCTTTTAACACTTACATACTGTAGAACTCTCTTGTTTAAATTGCTTAGTGCTTTTTAAAGTATTCATTGACATTTAAGTCAAGTGACTAGAATTACCTGACTTTGACACTGATTTAGAAAATATGTAACAATTATCTGCTCTAATTTGCATAAGCCAAAAATTAGATGCTAGGAATAAAACTATGAACCAGTCCTATCTTATCTTTGAAGAGTTGTTGACCAGCATTTACCCCGTACCATCATGTGTATGTTTCTGAGCCAGCTCTGAGAAGACTAACACTTAACATAAGGCACTATCATGTGTGCGTATGTTTCTTTTGAGATAGGGTCTCCCTGTGCAATTCAGGCTGGCCTTGAGCTCACTTTGTAGCCCAGGCTGTCCTTGAACTCGCAGCCATCTTCCTGCCTCAGCCTCCAGAGTGCTGGGATTACAGGCGTGCACCACCACACTCGGCTGAGACACAAGGCACTTACACTGTGTTGCACGGAGCTTTGTACTTGTTTCCTAAGGATAGGAGTCAGTGTTTCATAAATTCGGTAACCAGACATACCCCAGAGGTACAGGCTCGCATGTACCACGAGGTGTGTGGAGCTGTGTTCTAACTTCATGCTCACGGCTGCTCTCAGGCACGGTGACAGCCGCCAACGCCAGCACACTGAACGACGGGGCAGCTGCTGTGGTGCTGATGACCGCAGACGCAGCCAAGAGGTTCAACGTTAAGCCGCTGGCCAGAATAGCAGGTTGGTGTTCTGCCCTTGTTTATTTTTAAACTTCTGTAGGCTCTTCCTGAAATTAACTTTCTTGGCTGGTAATACCAAATATGGAGTTGGCTATTTCTACCTATAGGTTGTATTTTGGGATAGCATTTAATTGATACATATTTCAATTGAGACAAACTTCATTGATATTTTTGTTATAATTTGCAGATGAAACACTCAGAATCAATTTTTAGAAATATAAATTACATGAAAAATACAAAAGGCTTGAGCTTTGCACATCATATGTAAAGCGTCAGATGCCTGCGGAAGATGGTAACCGTCTGTTTCTCTGCAGCGTTTGCCGATGCTGCCGTGGCGCCCATTGATTTCCCGGTGGCACCTGCCCATGCTGTGCCCAAGGTGAGAGCCGTGATGGTCGCACTGCATGGTGCTAACTGCTGGTCTGCTTGGAACAAGGCCACAGTTTCACGGGCAGGAGCATAGTGACAGCTCCTCGCTGTTCCTGAAAATAGCAGAGCAACCCACAAGTTGTACCTTCAAGAGAGCAGATTTAAAATTGACGTAACTGAGCGACTTCCAAGCATGATGCTGGGTATACACTGTAGTAAACACAGAGGGAAGTGAGCACGGCAGAGAAAGGGAAATCCTAGCGGCCCAGGCCTAGAATTCAAAGCAAACAGTCACTCTCAAAGGAGGCGTCTCTGTCCTGCTGGAATTCCTGCCAAGAACTGGAGTCCAGAAAACTCAGACTCCAAACTGTCAGTCCTCCAGAGCAGGAAGTAACCATGTCTCTGCAAGGACCAAGGATGGATCGCAAGTGAGTTCTGAGCAGGGGAGAGGCTGCCGCAGAAATTCCCACCAGGGAGAGGACCTCTTCCTGAGAGTGGGGCATCTGAGACAGCACGTAAACAGAAACGGACATACAACTTTTCAAAGTGACTGCCCCAGATCTGAAAGCATAAAGTGTCTTTTCTAGTAAAAAAGGGCAGTGACAAATTTTTAATCAAAATATTAGCATAAGAATAATCAGGAACACAAAAGTACCTTCATACATAGCTACGCCACTATCAAAATGGCATAAAAGAATCCACAACAGATTCGTGCTCCAAACAGGGTCTGGATATGTAGCCCCTGCCGGGCTTGAACTTGCAGCAATCCTCCTGCCTCTGCCTCCCAAGTGCTGGTATTACAGGTTTGTGCCACCATGCCTGGTGCCCCCATAACTTTTTTAAAGCAGAAATTTCAGGAGATACAAGGAAAAACAAACCTCCTATTAGAGACAGATACTCAGTTTACAGATCAAGAATATAAAACTAAGCAACATATAATCAGTTCTGTCTTAATATGTAAAACTTTATACACCACCTCAAACATTTGTGAAATGTTGAAAAATTTCAAAATTTTCTCTATCTCCTCAAAACAGAAACAGTGCAAATAAGACTCTTTGAAATGAAATAAGATAAAAATGAGAGTCTTCGGGGCCACATTTTAAACACAACATCAAAGGGAAATGTAAACTATAATTATAGAATTTCAGAAAATCAAAATAAATTCTGACTGGTGTTTGAATACCATGCCTTAAAAATTTTAGGTTCTTAAAGATGCAGGACTGAAGAAAGAAGACATTGCAATGTGGGAAGTAAATGAAGCCTTTAGTGTGGTTGTGCTAGCAAACATTAAATTGCTGGAGATTGATCCCCAAAAAGTGAACATTAATGGTGGAGCTGTTTCTCTGGGGCATCCCATTGGGTAAGTGAAAAGTTACTGCTAGGTTAACAGCTACCTCTGTGAAGCTATTTAAACTCAGGCTGATTCATGTCGATTCGGTGCTCAGCTGTCCTCCCACCCATCCTTTGTAAGGCGACCAACATCATCTGCTTGAAACCCGATAGTGTTTAATCCTAAAGAAGAAAATGAATATTAAAGAGCTATAACCCTTCCTGAGATAACACCTACATTTAACAAAAGTAACTCAGCTGTAAGTAGCAGCTGACACAGTTTTTTCAGGAAGTTAATTTAATATGCCCTAGAGACATTTTCTGGTTAGTTACAAGTTCTCTTCTACATTAAAAGAAACAAATGCTTTCTTACTTTTAGGATGTCGGGAGCCAGGATCGTGGTTCACCTGGCTCACACCCTGAAGCAAGGCGAGTACGGACTCGCCAGCATCTGCAATGGAGGAGGAGGGGCCTCTGCACTGCTGATCCAGAAGCTGTAGACCAGCCTGCGAGACTCTGGGACGGCTCTCTGGGACGGCTTGCATCCAAATGCTGATTTATGATTTTCTATTGTAACTTCTGAAAATAAAAACAGTCATATCCCCAATTTTTTTCTTCTGCTCTAATTTTCTGGTACTCTCATTTAAAAGTTTGATACATTTCTATGATATAAGTTTATACTAGTATATAATTACTGTTGATTTATACAAGTAGCTGGAAGCTTCCACTTGAGAGAATAAGTCAGTTTTTCCTATGAATGTTATTTGTAGGTAATTACATTATTAGATTTTTTTTGGTCTTTTTCCTTTTTATCGATACCGGGGATCGAACTCACGACTGGTACTACAAGCAGAAACCACATGCTGATGTCTAGAGAAGAGGCAGCTTCTCACCGTGGAGGGCTGGGGCCATGGGAGACTGAAAAGGAAGCTTTAGTTCTGCATTGCAACAGAGGCACAGAGCATGAGCCAGAATGTGGAGATGGACAGGGCGAGTCAAGTTACGCCGCAGTGCCATTCTTAGGCCAGGCAGACTGTAGATAGCACAGGCATGGGAGCTGTTTCACCTGGCCTGGCCTGGCCTGTTCGCTGACCTTAGAAGTCTGACAAGGAAAACTGCCCCAGTGCAGGTCGCTGTGTAAACTTCTGGCAAATTATTACTCTCCCAGAATGGTTCGTGAACTCTGCACCGGCGCCCTGCCTGAACACGCATGAATATGGACATGGCTGTGTTTCCAGAACTGTGGAACGAATTAAGTTCAGCAGCTGAGGTGTACAACTTATCCTAATAGTTTTAGGTAACTCCTTAGTCCTCAGTAAAACTAGGCAGCAACCATTACTTCTCTACAGGTAAGGAAAATACCTGGGAGGGAGGGAGTTGCTAAATAAATTCAGGGTTAAATAGGTATTACACAGCTCAGCGAGGGTTAAGACAAAAGCTTTTCTAACACTGACGTCCAAGTTCTTATTTTAAGCACCTTTCATCAATACATGCAGTTGTATCTGCCCTACCTTAAAAATTTTTTTAACAGCACCAGAAAAAGCAGAACTAACACTGCATCCAAAGGTCACTGATTTGGAGAATAAGAATCTTGACAGATCTGGGGGAAATGGAGGGAAAGGAGAAGAGACAAAGAACCAATAACTAAATGGTGTTAAAATAAATGGGACTCTAAAACAGTAATTCAACATAACAAAATAAAATTGAAGTAAAAAAAAAATCTAAGGAAAGACATTCTACAAACATTTGATAGAAAAACTCCAGCATTTAAATGCAAGAGGAATCTCTACATTAAGTGGCCAACATCTATGTATTTTGGGATTTCGTGGATTGAACTCAGGGCCTTATGATATCGAGCATATTCTCTATTACTGAGCTATAGCCCCCCCCCCAGCCCACATATTTTTAATGGAATACAGGGACGAGATACCAGAAAGTGTACCTCAGAACTCTGAAAACAGTATTCCAAAGTGTTTTCCCCAAAAATGACAAAGGTTTAGACCAATTCATGGAAACACTGAAGAATTCAGCCTGCTAGAGAAGAGGTAGTGGTGCATACGGGTGAAATATATCCATGCTAAATGAAAGTAAATACCAGGAGAACAAGCTGTGGTCTTACACTAGCAGAGAAGACGATGGGCATGGCGGAGTACACCTGTCCTCACAGCTGCGCAGAGCCTGAGGCGGCGTGCTCACTAGTTTGAGGCCAGCCTGGACAATTTAGAAGTCTGTCTAAAAGTTAAACAAAGGGTCGGTGATGTGGCTCACAGTGCTGGTCTTCTGAGTCAGGGTCTTGCCATGCAACCCTCAGCCCCCAGTGCTGCTCCAGGCATGCACTCCCCGACCCTGCAACAGCGTCCTTGACTAGTACACAGGAGGCCCATATTGCTATCCTTTTACCATAAAGTATAAAAGATAAATTTTGTAACTGGAAAAATGTATAAAGTAAAAAGATGACATGCATATTCAGTAATTAGAAGGTAGACAGTGTTAAAACAGGAAAACAACTTACATAACAAACTAACCAGGTACAGGGCTGCACACCTATAATCCTGCACCCTGGGAGGCCGAGGCAGGAAAATAACCAGTGTGAGCACAGCCTGGTAACTTGATGAGATCCGGTCTCAAAAGGTAAGTTGGAGATTACACACAAACATTAACAGCAAGCAAAACTATGGCCAAAATAATTATAATGGGAAATTGAACACTTATGAAAAAAACTGCAAAGACATACAACTAGGTAAGTATCAGACTTTGTACATAAACAATATATTTAAAGTATAGTTTTCCATTACTGTACAAAAATACTTGATAAATACTTCCTTAGTAAAGGAAAAAACTTTTTTTTTTAACCAGGTCTTACTATGTAGCCCAGATTAGCCCTGAACTTACTATGTAGTCCATGCTGGTCTCAACCTCATGGAAATCCTCTTGCCTCAGCCTCCTGAGTACTAGAAGATGGGTTCAGTAGCAAGAAGCTTACTCAAAGGTTCTGTACCATAACCAGTCTCTCTCCTTTGCTGGGCAGCACAACATGGCCTGAAGCTCAAGGCAGAGCAACCTGTGCCTCTCACGGCAGCTCAGAGTCGAAGAGACAAAGCCTGCTTGGATGACATACCCCCGGTGATCTCGCCCCCAGGTCTTAAAGGCTCGTCATTTCGCAGCAGTCACAGGCCACTGACCAGGCCTTTAACATGTGAGCCTTAAGGATGCACCTAACACAGCAGGCACTTAAGCAACATGAATGTTAACATGTAGCTGTAGTGGACGGAAGCCCTAGATTAGATCCCAGTGCTGGAAAAAATAATGTATCCTTTGTACTAATCATAAAATTAAACCAAACGTGATGTACTTCTAAGTAATCATGTAAAGATTTTTAAAAAAACCTACTTAGGCTATTCCAGACTTCGATTAAAACCAAAGAGCTCATCCATATTCCAGATTTTGAGGTTAACAACTAAAGTCTGACATAAACTAATGACCTCGGATGTTTACATGGCTTCAAAAGGAAATAAGGTTAACTATTTTAAGTTACATAAACATAAGCACATAAAAAAGCACAAAAGAATGAAATGGGAATTAGTGAAAGAAGTTGTTAGCACTGTTGAAGAGGTGTTTCCAGTCAGGAATTACTTGCGTCTTGGAGTATACATGCAAAAACTGGAGAAAAAAATGAGACATTGGACTCCGAATAGAAAGCTTTAAGCCTGACTAGATCAAGCAGCCTGGAAGAAATTTACCGGAAAGTAAGCTGAACACTAGATGGTTCACTATTCTGAACATACAGCTGCAAAGGAAAGGAAACACACACACACACACACACACACACACACACACACACACACACGCATGCTTATGTGTAACAGGTGGCTAAAATCACAGTTCTTAAGGTGCTTCTTGCGTTTTTATAGTCCAGGCATTGCTTTGAATAGTTTTACATATACTGCCTTAGACTTTAACCTTAAGTCTGGTACTATTTATTATTGCAATCCAAACATTGTAATCCCTTTTCTGGGCCACCTCACAATCTAGGAAGTTGTATTTGTAATGCCATAGCAACGTTACTGGAATTCCAGCAAGTGAATTCCAGCCTGCCACCTCCAATGCAACCCATGGTACGAGTAAAGACACTAAGATATATTCAAAGTTATGGGCAGCCAAGAGACTCAGTCCAGTCCAATGAGGGTACATGGACAAAGGCCCACGTCCCAGGCCTTTGTCCATATGTACAGCTCTGTACATATCAGTACATGGAGATGGGACCCAGTTTAATTAATAAGAAGGCAATAGTTCTGACTTCAAGGAGAACTGTCCAGTTGGTCCTCTACAATTTATTCTCAATATTCATATAAACTAGAAAGAAAAATTTCAAAATCACTTACAATTTAACTTTAAAACCAGTTTCATTAAACATTTAAATAAATGTCCATAAATTAAATTTATAGTTTAAAAGGCTAGGAGTCAGGTGTGGTGGCAGGCACCTGTAACGCCAGCACTTGGGAAGCTGAGGTAGGAAGCCCACCATGAGTTTGAGGCCCGCCTGGGTAGCATGGGAAGTTTAAGGTCAGCCTGGACTCCACAGTGAGACTCTGTCCAAAAAAACACAAAAAGATATCCCCCTCAAGATCATAAAATATACAGCATTAAAATATAATAAATTCACGGGCTTTATGAATTTTTTTTAAATAATGGAGAACAAATCATGAGCTATATCCCCACCCAGTTTGAAATTCTGAGACAAGGCCTTGGTAAGTTTTCCAGGCTGGGATTGAATTTGCAGTCTTCCTGCCTCAGCCTCCCAGGGTTGAGATCACAGGTGTGTGCCACCAGACCAAGCTCTAATGCAAATATTTTAACTGACATTGTAGCAGCACCTAATTAAGTTGAATAGGAATTCCTGATGGGGAGGGAGACAGGTGTTGAGACTGGGTCTTGTTCTGTGTCAGGCTAGCCTTGAATTCATGGCAATCCTGCTTTACCCTCCCACTGGACTAAGGAGTGTGCTGCCATGTGTGGCTGAGGTAAATTCTTATAATACATAGAATAAAATACAAAACCCAGCCTGCAGGATGCCCTGGTTTCTATCCCAGATACTGCAAAGCAAAACAAAACTATAATTAAAAGTCTTATACTTACCATTCTTTTATTTATTTATTTTTTTAAGACGAGTCAAGTGCAGTAGTGAGAAGGCGGGAACGAGCAGAACAAGGAGTCCAGTCTGTTCTGACTGTGAACAATCTCCCTCCCTTCGGACCAGCCACACTTAACATTCCTAAAGGACGAACACAAGCAAGGATGTCTGCTTTGGTCATTGCTCACTGTACTCAAAGTGCTAGATAGTGTAATAAGAAACAAAACTGGAAAACTGCTTACAGATGATACATCGTTAGTAAATAAAAAAACACTGGAAACATCCGTTAGCACTAGTGAAGTTCTCTCAGGGTGGAAAATAGAAACTCAAATATAACAGATTTCCCACAGTAACTAAACAGGTCTGTGACAGGCATACCTTTAAAAAAAAGTCCAATGGAATCTACTGAAATCCAGAAACAAACCCATGTACATATCCAGTTTACCAATTTAAAACAAAGGTAACAGAACCCTGCACCTGGGGAAGGATAGTCTTTTCAAATAAATGGTACTGTAGGGTTAACTACATATCCACGTGGAAATCAATTCAATGGAGATCAACTGTAAGGGACTGCTCACATGAGCTGTTGAGAGAAAAATGTGGTAAAATATTCAGATATTTGCTAGCTATCTGACAAAGAATTTATATCTAGAATATAGAAAGACCACTAACACATCATTCAGAAAAACACAGACTACCTGGTACAAAAACAGAGCAAAATACACCAAAGAACAGTCCATAAAAAATAACCAGGTAGCCAATGAATATTTGAAATCACTGGGGAGGAAAAATAAAGCGACAATGCATATTTAACACTGTCAGAATGGCTAACATAAAATGAAAATACCAAGCCCTGCTAACAGTGTCGAATAAATGGAACATTCTGTATACTGTTGAGTGTAAATTAGTATAAATCATCTTATAAAATGCAAACATTTGATTAAGTTTGGAAATAAGCAACATGACGGTCTAGCAACCACAATCCTCAGCATACAGCCAAATGAAATGCCCCCAAACATGTAAAAGAAATTTACAGTTCTATTTGTAATAGCCCCAAGCTGAATTTATATGTTCATCATCTATAAAACGGGTTGTAATTCACCACAGTGCAAATATAATCAGCATTAAGGATGACAAATGAGTAATTAGCAGAGAATACAGACCATATAAACCTGTTTATGTAAATTAAAAAAACCCTAGAATTAGTCTGTGGAGCTCGAAGTTAGTGCAGTGATTATTGGTTGGATTACTACCAAAGGGGAGGTGTGAAGGGTTTCAGGGTACTTTTTGTTCTAGCCTCAATGTGGATGATGATGTGTGCTTCAGAAAATAAATTCAAATGCATAGGGGGCTGGGGATTTAGCTCAGCGGCGTAAGCGCCTGCCTCGCAAGCAGGCAGTCGTGAGTTCGATCCCTGGTACCGATAAAAACGAAAAAGACAAAACAAACAAACAAACAAACAAATGCATAAACAGAGTTTGCATACTTTTCTGTTTACCTGTTAAAAGTTTATATTACGTAAGTCCAATAACCAGTTAAACTGGTTATGTAATAAAGAGTCCTCTAAACAAAATCAATGAAGGAAAAAAAAACCCAGTTAGTTTATTAAGAAATTAGAGCTGGGTGAGGTGACGCATGCTTGTAATTCCAGCACTCCAGACGTGGAGGGAGGCAGGAGGATCGCTGTGAGCTGCAGGCCAGCCTGGACTGCACAGTGAGTTCAACGCCAACCTGAACCACATAGCAAAACCCTGTCTCAAAACCAGAAGGAAAAAAAAAAAAAAAACAAAAAAAAACAAAAAAGAGAAAGACAGCTACAACACTTTTTTGGTACTTACCAAATTTAAAATACAGTGATTAGGGCTGGGGATTTAGCTGAGTAGCACAAACGCCTGCCTGGCAAGCGCAAGGTCGTGAGTTTGATTTCTAGTACCCAAAATAAAACGAACGATTCTAAAGTTAATCAACAAGCATAAGAGGTGTGAATATTTAAACAAGAATAATGGATACAAGGCTACATTAGTTAATCATGACCCAGCATAGTCTATGTACCAAGGTAAACAGTGTGTATATATGCATAAATATAATGTAGGTCCAAACTTACTGACTGTAAACTCTGAGGTTACCTGAATTTCGTAATTCAGAATAACTTGAAGTTCTAAAAAGTAGATCAGCCAGATGTGGTGGTCCAACCTATAACCCCAGCACTCAGGAGGCTGAGGTGGGAGGATCACTTTGAGTTCGAGGCTTGCCTGGGCTACCTATCAAGTTCAAGACTAGTCTGAACTATATATGGAGACTCTGCCTCAAAAAACAAATAACGGGGCCCACAGATAGAGGTCTGCAGCACAACACCTGCCTGGCAAGGGCAAAGTCCTGAGGTTGATTCCCGGTAACCAGAAACCAAACCCCAAACAACCAAAAGAAACCAACAGCAAACAAACCTCCACACACATATAATAATAGAGTCAAAGTTGATACTTACATGACTTCAAGAAGGCATGAGCCTGGAAAACAGTGGCTTGATAAAAAATGAATGCAGATAAGGCAGAGGAATGTAGCTCAGTGGTAGAGACTGACCCAGCACGCACAAGGCTCCTCGTTCAACCCTCAGTGCTGGGCTGGGGGGAAGAATGCAGAATGTAGGGTGTATCACAAGACCAGTATCAAACGGGCCAGGGACTTGAGTTCAGTGGTGCCCAGCCTGCCTGGCAAGCATGAGGTCCTGAGTTCGATTTCCAAATAGAATCCCCTTCCCAGCAAAGACCAACACCCATTGTTTGTGGTATATTTTAACCCCAAGATTTATCATTGAGCACCTGACTGTTAAAACAGGTTACCAGGTACATGCAAAACATTTAGACTTTTAGGAAAAAGTGAGGATTATGGTTTGGTTCTGGAACACCAAAACTCCAATTTATAACTTACTGTATCTAGTCGCTCCTGCTATTAAAGAAACTAAATATTACAGAAATTCTTGCTATACAAAATTTTTGAACTTAACACATAAATACTAACTACATGAGAAGAGAATCTGCAATTTTAAGTTTTATATGAATTTAATGAAAATGAGTAAGCAAGAATTAACTTGTTATGAGATTTAATGTTTTAAACCAGGGCTGCCAATAAAAGTAATCTAAAGTTCTGAAGTTAATGAAAATATTTATTCAAATCTAATTGTAGCACAGTATCAAGTAAATATTAACTGTATGATATTTAGTTTGATACCAGTCACATCATAAAAATTTCTGATAACCCAAAATTTCTGTAGTAAAGTTCCATAATGAAACAATGATTTCTACATTGAAAACTGTTCTATTACAATAGGATGGATTTATTTTTTTAAAGACCCAGTACAAAAAATCGTTGAGGAAAGTGACTTTTCAACAAAATATACACCTATGTAAAAAAATCCTAATGCATTCACATTTAAACAGAAAGCACTTAAGCATACTTTATTATCTAGGCACAATTGGTCAGATATTAAGTATAATTTGTAATGATTTAAAAGTTTAAACTGGTTCTTCAACTTGCCTGCTATGATGAGTTCAATGCAGAGAAGGCACCTCTCTCACTCCCCGTAAGGGCTTTTTGAGAGCATCTGTTTAGAATACTTTAAGGGACACACAGAAAACGTGCTACATCTAAAGTGTGGATATTGTTATTTAACACACCCCATTTTAGAAGAAACTGAAATATAAAATTATGATTTCTCTTTTTACATCTTTTGATGGACATGACTTTCAGGACACCAAAACATAATCTTCCACACAAGCTTTAACTTAAAACACAAGATTTAAATTAAATGTGCATTGTTTACTATGATGCGAAGTTAGTGCAATTCTTTACATCCCTAGTGCTTAGGGGCGAGTTTATACATACTGAGTATCTCAACTTTGTATGGCTCAACAATCTAACCACTTAAAGTTCTGTAAAGATTTAAAGAACAATCACAACACTCATTAAATGGTTTACAAAATTCTCTTTGAAACAAAGAGAACAGAATGACCACAAGAAATAAATTGTAAAACTTTAGGAATATAGTTTTTACTGTAACTACAAGAAAGGATGGTAAAGTACTGAGTCTAAGGGGAAAAAAATCCATCAAACTGTTGATTACTACCAATTGAGGTAGTTATCATTTTTTTTGTACTTAGAGGCTACATATTTAAATATCTTTTTGAACAATTGTGAAGGTAATTATAAGGATAAGGAACATTTTCATTCAAAAGAAATGAGATAATATTTCAGATGAATAAACCTCAATTAAGGATCATAAGTCAAAAAACGCAGTGTAAGAACATTAGGTGATTTAACCTCTATTTTCACAAGATTTATACAATATTTACAATATGCAATTGTCAAAGCTGTACAGTTTTTGCAGATTGGTTTTACTTACATTTCTGCTAATTTTTTTTCCAAAATAGAAATATATCAAGTGTATGTACAAACTACAATGCTGCTTCATAAACAGCATGATTAGGTATAAAGTAAAACTTTAGTACAAGAAAAAGTGCAGGTCATGTTTTCAATTTCTATCGATATCCCATTCCCCACACCCAGAGTTTAAGGGGTACAAGTTTTAAACAACCAACGTTCTTATGTGTTTCCAATGCTTACTCATCATAATGCAATGATAACAAAAATTTGTCCACGTCCATTCCTGCTGGAAATGAACCAGGCAGCTTCTTTTTCTGCGGGGAGGAAAAAAAAAAGGAAAAATAAACAAGGCCAATGTTCTCAATAAGACACCTGGAACATAATGTTGGGTTCTTCCATATATTACTAAAATTGTCAATTTTTAAAAATCTTTTTGAATTTTAGTTCTATAGGAGAAGAGGTTAAGTTTTATAAACCCAGAGTTCATATATGAAGTGTGACCAAAACATATGGTGAATGTTAAAAAAAAGTGACAGTAAAGATCCACTGCCATTCATCCCACTAAAAATAGCCCTTTCTCTCTGAGTATACTTGTCCCATCAGCTGCTCTGGAAGTCTGTCTTGTCCTTATGAAGTCTGAATGTAGTGGAGTATGGATGTGGTGCTTGCTGCCGCCAACGTCATCCGATGGACAGGCAGGCTCGTCAAAACATCAGAGAGAGAGAGAGAGAGAGAGAGAGAGAGAGAGAGAGAGTGTGTGTGTGTGTGTAAGCTCATCCACCTTACTCACTGGTGACTTAGGGTTTCCCCAAAGACAGGATGCCCATGAAGGTAAACATTCTGAACTGATTCAGGAGACTCAGGTAGTCATCACAGTACAAGTAGACATTCAAGAAAGAAGTTCCACAAGTGCTACATAAAAATGGCAAGAATGCTAGGGTAAGTACAGCTGAAACAAGAGGGAATATTTTGAGGGGAATCAATGGCAGTATCTTTTACTTTATTACATTGAAACAAAAAATTCCACCATATATTTTGTACACACTTTGTATTTTCATAGTATTTCAATATTACTTTAGGGCAAAAAACATACAAATCTAGAGTCTAAGAATGCTGAATGATGCAAGATATAACACATTTGTGTAAAGTGATTGTTACTATTAAACCATAACCCTTAAACAGATCAGAGTAACAGGCACTTAGCAAATTCAACATACTAAATGTATCTGACATACACTATGTGTAGTTCCCAACACCACAACTGAACACGTATGGTAATGTCATATCAGCTCAGGAGGGTCATGACCGAGAAGCTAGACTTCACCATGGTCACGGAGAGCCAGTATGCAATACACAGAAAACTCAAACCCAGGCTTGCAGGGCAAAAGACCAAGATTGTCCTTGATACTACACATTCTAAACAATTTTTATTCAACCCACTTACGAAGCATGGATTTAAACATCTTTAAAACAAATAGGGTTCATTCACCAATGCTACTATTCCGGCACTGCCTTCTGATGATAAACAAGATTAACGAAAAAAACCACAGGTATACTGTTCCTCCAACAGGAACACCTTCATGGCTAAGGAGGAGACGACAAGATGTGTGAAAACCTCCAGAGGTACGTAAGAGGAGCAAAGTAGTGTTTTACCATGGCACCTCAGTTCCCAAACTTAGCTTGTGGTATGACTTTGGAAAAAGACAGTCTCCTTTGATAGGAAAGACGGCCACAGTTGTGTTTATCACCTGAGGCAGTTTACAAAACCTGTTTTTCCAAATGCTTGTTTGTGAGTGGTACCACTATGCTAGCTAATTTTCTGTATTAGTGGCTTTCCAGTATCTCATGTATTACGTCGATCCCATAAAACAAAACTTGTGTCCTCCATCACCAACATCTGCCTCTCCCAAGGAAGGCAAATGCTTCAGGGATTTTTTTTTTCTGAGAGAAAGTATAGTTTAGGCTGGCCTTGGACTCACAGCGATCCTCCTGTCTCTTGAGTGCTGGGATACAAAATTTCTAAGTACCACCAATGATTAAGAAATGCTGCTATTTAAACACATTTGTCCATCAAAACTCATACTGTCATGACCATAACATTCAATCAGGTTGTTGGGGCACAAACTGCTGAAGTTTCTAAGAACTAAAGGAAAACATGGAGTTTAGAGATTAGAACTTTTAAACTTGCCTTAATTTTCTTTTTTTTCATTGGTATTGATGAATGTGCAAGACTTTTACTAGAAGTGCGGGAGTTCCGCTCACGCTCATCTAATTCTTCAATTTTCCTTTTTTTGGTGGTGCTTCTTGAAGACGTTCTAAACTGCTGTGTGTTGTCTTTTAGAGGAGTTGTGGATGCAGTCCTGGAAATGGCTGCTCTGGAGAGAATCATCAGTGTGTGCGCGGCCATGCTGACACTGTTTTCGCTGCCTGTCTCACTGGCAGGGCTGCAGGCAGGCAAGTCTGGAGCGACAGGAGGGATCATTACTTTGGCTGTGCTACTGTCATCGCCCAAACGCCTACTAGAGGGGGCCTTGATGACATCTGAGGGTTCTTCCCTATGTTTTTCCCCCGCTCCGGAGCCAGGTGTCCGGGGCACAGGTGAATCACTACTATCAGTGAGTCTATTTACGGGGCTCTGTAACTGCACATCATGTAGTATTTCTGTGGTGTTCAAAGAGTTCACAGTCTTTGTTTGCTCCTGTTTTAGATCCTTCATAGCTGTACTTACTGAAATAAGATTTTTACTGTTTGAAGATGTAGCTTGTCTTTTGGTCAATTCCTGCAGTGAAGACACTGCTTTCTCATTTCGTAAACTCCCATGTTGTTGCCCAACAGACAGTTTTGAAGTGTCTGAATTTTTCTGCCTTTCCATATCACTGCGTAATTCATTCTCCTTATTAGCTGTTGCCTTATGGAAGGATTCAAGTACCATTTCTGTTGGTGAAACTTTCTTTTCTGACTCAGCTTCTTTTACGGTGGTATGCCGAATAATAGCAATTTCTGGTTTAGATAAAATCCTGGGCATAGGGGTTTTCTCTTTTTCTTTTTTGGTAGAATTAGAAGAGGGTTTTAACATGGAGGATGCAATGGGTGAGTCGAGATGAGAAGAGGCAACTTCACTCCTTTCCCGGTTTTGGGATGTCATCTTCTGGCCTGACCCCTGTGTGTTTGCCACAGAAGAAGTGGTATCAAAACATAGCACACGTCTATGGCTTTCAAATGGTTTGCTAGCTGGAACTGTGCTCTCTCCAGAGAAGGTAACTGTGATCTCTTCCATTTTTTTCCCAAGTCCTGTGACCATATTCTTGTCAGAAACTTCAGTTCTAGGGGGAAAAAAACATATGTAGAAACATAGAGAAATCCTTTTGTTTTTAATCTGATCACTCAAATAATCTTCAACAAAAACTACTTGATATTCACCTTTGTGCATGACATCCAACTGAATGATTTGATGAATCTGCCGAATTATTAATCTGTTTGCCTGGAATTAAGGATGTAACAGACAACCATATTACAAACCATAAGAAAAGCTTCAATGTACTTTCATATCCTGGCTTTTAAAAAACAGCTTTGTAATATATACAAAATTGCCATTTATCCATTGTACACAGGAAATCTGTAGCCCTTTTTAAAAAAAGAATCAGGGATCAAAGGTAGGATCTTGTGCTTGCCAGGTAGGCTTTGTGCAGCTGAGTTATATCCCCAGCCCCATACAAAGGAAATCTAGATATCAGTCTATGTATCTATAAGTTACAATGCTCCATACAGCTCTTCATGTACTATAGCCATGCACCAGAGACGGAACAGTTTTAGGGCTCTCATATTATACCAAAAGCTGTTACACAAGCTTTTTGTAACAGTTAAAAAGAAATTTTTTAAAAAGGGCAAACGGCTTATGGGTTGCAACTTAGATACACATCTCTAGGTTATTTAAAATGCAAAAGCTATGTAAACAAAGACGACAAAGCATTTTGAGCACAGATTAAACATTTTCCCCGAAAAATGAAAAAAAGAAAAAAAAGTTTTTCTTCCTTTCTTTGTTTGTTTTTCCTTTTCTGAGACATCTCACTACACAGTTTAGGATGGCCTCAGACTTTCTATGCTGACTTTCAATTCGTGAGTCTCCTGCCTCAGTTTCTCAATGCTGGGAGTACAGGTATGGGCTGACATGCCTGGCTTCCCCTTAAGTTTTCGATCTGTAGTAGGCTGAATCTGTGGTTGTCGACTGTGCTCATAAAGGAGCCAAATGAACTTCAATCAAGACAGTTGAAGAAAGTAGTACGATTGACTTGCACATTATGCCAATTTCAGAGACAATCTAAGAGTTGTATATAGGGTAGATGCATGAATACATTTATCCTTTGGGAAGACCAGTCTGACAACAATAGAGAAAAGAGATAAATGAAAGCAAGAATTCTAGTAAGATGGTTCTAAATACTCCAGGTAAGAGAAGATGAGGGTCTTCGAGACAAAAATGTGCATTTGCATGGATATGAAGGTAAAGGAAGAATCTATGGTAACACTAACCATGGAATGCAGGGGAGGTCAGTGAACTGCAAAGTTAAGACTTAGATACATACAATTTAAAGATCTTGAGTTATATAAAATCATCAAGGGAAATAACAATATCAACAGAGGAAGTGGTATCAAACAAGCAAACTAAAGCAAAAATGGAGGTCAAAGTTCATGGCAATATTAGGAGACAGACACAGTTTTAGAAGAAACACAAGACAATCCAGTGATGTGGATAAGGGCTACAAAATAAAGAGGTGTTGGGGATACAGGCTTGGTGGGGGGGGGGGTAAACATAATCCCTTTACAAGAGGTAAGAAAAGAGAAGGATGATGTTAGAAGCATAACAAATGCTTACTGCATGGGAGTGAGATTACAAATGAGATTTACTACTGCAGGCTAAAGGGAGAAGGCAGGAATTCAACATATTTCAGAAGACATGCAAATCTTGAATAGCCTGAAAGGGGAATGGGAGGGATTTAAATGTTTAAAATGCTTGCAGAGTAGAAGGTGAGTGAGGAATCAATTTTTAAGTGATATGGAATGGCACCACTTTTTCATTTGTTTGTCCTCTTTCTGGTGTTGGGGATTGAAACCAAGGCCTCACCCAAGGTAGTAATGTGCTCCACCATGGAAAAAATTCAAGGCACAGAAGTCTGAAAACCATCTGTTATAGTCACCCAGGTCCTGAATGAAAATATGGGGTTACTTTGTATATGGCGCCTCCTGACCTCTCATTCTACCTTTATCAAAATACTGCACATAATCTCTTCCTAAAAATTATTTTGTCCCATAGGTTTAAGTTACTATGTTGTACTTTCAATACTGGCTGGTTGAAGATTGTTCTCTGCTAACTGGGTTTATAAATTTAAAACTCAGTTTACCAATCTCCAAAATATTTTACTTGTATTTTAAACTGGAATTCTATAGAATTTTTGATTCAACTGGGAGCTGACATGTTTAACAGTGTTAAAATCTTCAAATCATGAACGTGGTTCTTTTCTATTTATATAGGACTTCCTATAGAAACTTTTATAGATTTCTAATTCTTTTGCTAACATTTTGGCTAGGTCACTTTCTTTGCTTTATTTATTTTATTTTATTTTTTATTTATTTTGGTACTGGGGACCAAACTCACAACCTTGCCCTTGCCAGGCAGGTGATGTGCTGCTGAGCTAAATCCCTGGCCCCAAATTATGTTTTTGTGATCATTGTAAAGGATACCTTGTTTTTTTATTACAGCAAGTAACTACAAATTTTGGAAACCTAATCATGCCTGGCAACCTTGTTTAATGCTTACCAGTCCTAATTATTTTTCTATTGATTCCTTAGGGCTAACTGTGTAAAAATCACATCATCTGCCATAATCATCTCATTCCCTTTATTCAAATTTTCATACCTATTTCTTACTGTATTTTCCAGACCACAGATATATGGTAATCTGCATATGGTGGAGGTATGATCTAATGTCAGTAGGAAAAATGGACTATTTAATAAATAACTTATTGGTGTTAGAAATGCCGGCTTCCTGTATCTACACAGAAAGTTGAAAATGAGTATCCTTATTTTGTTCCTAACTGTCCAAGGGCTCTTTACTACGGACGGCCTTTAAGAACTTATCATAAACAGGCACTAAACTTACACCAACTTCTTTTCTGGTATAACTCTGTAATGGCATAAAAAAACACATGTCATTCTGAGAAAACATTTATGAAAATGTATAAAAAATAACACCTCAATACACAGGAAACCAAACAGAAGAAAAAATATAAACAAGCAATTCATATAAAGGGAAATATTAGTTAATTAAAAGAGCTGATTCTGAACCTTAGCAGTGATTATAGCAATGTAGAATGAAATAAGACACTAACTGCTGTACAGGGGCTGGGGGTTTAGCTCAGTGGCATAAGCACCTGCCTTGCAAGCAGGCGGTCGTGATATTCAATCCCTGGTACTGGGAAAAAAAAAACAAAAGAAACAGAGACTAACTGCTGTACCATTTCATACCATCATATTGGTAGAAGTTAAATATTACAACATGTTATCAAGCCCCGGCATGTTAGAGTCAAGAAAAGAAAATAATGAAAGCATCAATTCTTCTCTATGATTCAGAAAATCTACTCCTGTGTACCTGCCTTAAACATACTCACACAAGCCCAAAAAGATGTCATCTATAAAAGTGTTCATCGTATCATTTTTGTCAAAAAACCTTGGAAACACCTTAAAACCTTATAGCTCAGCTGCACAAGCTCCTACCTGGCACGTGAGGCTGTGAGTTCAATCCCTGGGGCAACCAAAAAAAGAAAAAAGAAAAGAAAAGAAAAGAAAAGAAATATGGATCCTCAGGTCCTAAATTGCTATTTATTTACCATTTGCATTTTACAAAGTACCCAAGTACTACATACACATATTAGAATTTGAGATGCACTGCCCTAACGTCTCATAAAACCATACAAATCAATTACCAAACACTGTAAACATGTTAAGAATACCGAAGAAGAAACAAGGCAAAGAGGCAAAAACTAAAAGTCAACAAATAAAAATAACTTTTTATCAAAGCTAAACTGTTCAAAAATAGAACTGGCTGCCTTGTGATATCTATTCTGTAATACTTTAAGCTCAAGTAAGACGATCATTTGTTAGGAACAGTTAGGTACTCAAAAGCAAATAGCTAAGTCTAGATAAAGACACACGCACAGACATAAAGTTGACATTAGTAACTAAAAGAAATGGTACCTGTGCACGTCTTGTTTCTCAGCCCCTGTGCCTTCTGAGACTTGGGAGGAACAGGGAATTGGGGGATACTTCTATTGCACACTGGTGCTGCTAAAGGCACATGAAGGACCTAGAAGAGAAAAAGCCGCTGGTTACTGTTAAGAAAGCTTCAGCATACCATTCTTAGTTCATCAATCTTACCTGCTGAGGAGGTGCAGAAAAGGTATTTCCATTCTGTCCAACCACAGACACGGGGACCATGCCCACCATTCCTTGGAGTACAGGTTGGACTGGAGAAGCAATTATAATGGCAGAACCTAAAAAACAATTTTTATTTAAGACCTTCTCTCAAATCTTCTGGCATAAAGTATTAATTAGTATGTTGAAATAAATTCTACAAATGACCTTAAGATCCTCTTTCCTTTCCAAGAAATACTGCTTTACAAATAACAGCTTAGCCAAGAGCAAGTCAACCTGAATAATGAGGTTTTAAGGTATTCAGCAATGGTAAATCATTATGGGTAAGTACATGACTCTACAGCTAGAACATATGACATCTTGATTCCTCTAAAACACAGCAACTAATTTGAGTATGAACATGACTACATGATTACTGAGTATGAACTAACTGCATGATTATAGCCCAAGATCCTGTTCAAAACTCAGTCTTGTATGTGTGAACAGAATTGGTCCAAAGGGGTACAAAACAAGCAAAAATCAGTGAGGAGAAATTAGAATGGTTGTAAGATCCTTACAAGTCAGCGACAGTCAACTACTATACTTTAGCTCTGTCTTGCAAATGAATTTTTTTCTCAATAAACTCACTAACCATTCCTGTTAGGCTGATCTTCACTTTTAGGTTCATTTACTGCAGTCTCTCAAATATCTATGTAACCTAATGCTGGTTCACTTGGCTGGGAAGACTTCTTTTAACTCCAAACCCTACCTTATTTCTGTGTTCTAGCTTAAGGTACGTATTTGTATCAATTCTGATCTCTCCTTTAACTCATCAATGTAACAGGCACTAGAAACAGACTCACCAAGTTTAATGCTTGACCTTAGGGTTTAATCAGCTTTTATTCTATGATTATAATGGAAAAAAAGGCAAGCAGGGGAAAAGGACAGTACGTATAGAAATACAGATGAACGTGCAGTAAGCTTTAACTTTGAGGAGCGTACCATAAATGACCAATGTAACAGGTGTTTCAATCATGCATAAAACTACACGTAACAAAATATCACAAGAGCACCCTCTAAATAAAGGAGTATAAAGGCAGGAATCAATTACATGAGATGGAAGGCAGTGAAATACTATAGATTTTATGGAGGGAGAAATTCAGGTAATTTTTGAAAATCCAAATAGATGACAAAATCCTTGAAAACTACAGGCATAGTAACTATTTAAGAAAATCTCTCACAATGTTTGGGTTTTATTAGGTACAGCTGTGTGAAGAACCAGTTTTTTTCTTATCTCTTTCAGTAGCTTATTAATACGAATCTGAAAAGTAAATGTGGAAAAGGCAAAAATTCAACTATTTAAATGAAGGCTTGGCAGATTTAAAAATATTTGACTGAATTAATTAGCTAGCATAAGAGGGAAGCATAATTACAAATGTGAAATGTGTTTTTTCATAAAGTGTATCTTCTTTTTTGTTGTTGTTTTTCATTTTTATCAGTACCGGGGATCGAACTCACAACCGCCTGATTGCAAGGCAGGTGCTTATGCCTCTGAGCTAAATCCCCAGCCCCCAAATGTATCTTCTTTTTAAATCTCCTAGCCAATGACTTCATACACAAGGAAATGAATTTCAATGTGCCCCCCAGCTCCTTGGAGATGAATTCATGGCCCTACGTATGGCAGGCAGGCACTCTGTGACAGAGCCGTATGTATCTCCCACTTAGCTCCTTTTTTTTTTTTTGGCAACAAGGTCTTACTACATAGCCCAGGCTGGTCTCAAACTCAACATCCTCCTGCCTCAGCCTTCGAAGTACTGGGACTACAAGTTCAAATATGTTCTTAAAGTTACCTTGTGAAAAGTTTGGTGACACAGCTTGGTTGACAGCGAACACACTGTTTGATCTCGGTGGTGTCTGTAACTTTGGTGGGGGCGGCTGTGAGGTCATAGTCGCAGAATTTCCAGGCAACACCACAACATTAGACTGACTGACTGTTGTTCCCAAGGATGTTGGATCAGTCACACAGGTAGCAATGAGAATGTTATTGGAGTTGCCGAAAGTTGTGCTTGTGGCTGGCATCAACTGTATGAATCCTCCCTCCTTGGAAACACACGGAGTGATACTTGCTGAAAAAGTACTGCCCTCTTCACTCTGAGTGTCATTTACTTTGGTGTCCTCCGGTTTGAGTGTCAAAAGGCTCTGTTCCACAGAAGCTGAGCCCTCTACTGCAGCAGACACAACAGAACCTGCAATTCCCTCTGCAGACAGGTCTTTAACTAATTCTGCGTTTTTGGTAGGCGACTTATCAGGAGAAGATAAAATGATAGTTGGCAAGTTTTCTCCACTGATACTGGACACAGCACTGGTAAGTTCAGTATCCGAGGACACAAATGGATCATCACTAATGATAATTTTGAGGGAGACAATATTTGATGCATCCACTTCTGCAGAGTTGTCACTACAAGGTTTATCACCAAGATTTTGAGACTCGGAGTGAGGATCTCCCACTGAAGAACACCCAGGTTCAGAAGGAACAGAGTGACTGTTTTTCATACAGTTACCTTCTGGAGGTATCTGTGCAACTTCCCCACAGCTGTCAGTGCTGACCAAAGAGAGAAAAATGTTATCTCCTCCTTTTACGGGAGAGGAAGGCTCCTGTGGCTCCACAGCAGCCTTGTCAGACTTGTGTGGCTCAGTCTCATTTTGGGCATGACTTAGCTCAACAGCTGTGGAACCATCATACGGTTGTTTAACTGAAGAGACTGAATCTTCAAGACAAACTTCTATTTGTTGTTCAGAGACATGTAAAGCTGAACTTCCTACAGACACAGGCAGTATTTCACTTTGAAGTAAATTAGTCTGGCAAACTGGTAGTTGTGGTGATACAACCGGCAGTACATTACTCATCTCAATTTTACTCTTCTGAAGTTCACCAGGATCTTGTGACTTGGAACTATGAAAACTAGTTTTAGGTTTCACTGTATTGTTAAGACTTTCACAAAGCTGACTATTTTTAGACGGCTTTCCGGTGAGTGGAGTATTTTGAGATAAAAGTTGAGAACTTTTCCCAGACAGACTTAAGTTTTCACTGTTCATTTCAACACCAAGGGTAACAAATGAAGTTACTGGTACTTCAGACTGACTAGGCTGTAACTGAGACTCACAGGGCACATTCGGAGACACAGTATTCTTTCCAACTTCCATGGCCCTTTCAGTTTCAGGAGGGATCTGACTCGTATATAGTTCAGTACAATGCTGGTTACATTCGGCATGAGAATTTCCTGTTTGGTTAAAGTCACTCAAACTAGGCACAGATTCAAAGGTAATGTCAAGGTCACACTTCTGTTCTGTAGGTGCTACTGTTTTAACAGACTTTTTCTGGATGCTAGGTTCTATTTGGGGAAAACCGTCCTGGGCTTCCTGTCTCAGCGCTTCATGGCTGCTGCCGTTCTTCAAAACATCTAGTGCCTCTTCATTCTGACAGGACGTACAAGCAGGCTGACCAGACTGACCATCTGCAAAATATCAGGATCGTGAAGAGATACATTAGTGAGTATGTTTAGCTTCTGAAGCGTTCACCTGCACTATACAATCTATTCTTTCAAATGAAGTATGACGTTTCAGCAGAACATTAAGCAGAAGTTTGACACGCTATTCAGCCCATTCTCTATGGGTCAAACATATCTATGACAACCTTGGTAATTACATGTGTCTTTTTAAACAATTCTTAGAAAACAGATGACATGAGGAAGGAAAAAGTACAGAGGTTTAAGAACACCTAGTATTTACTAGAAGGTAGAACAAATGAAACTTAGCTCCGAGTTGTAGGAGAGTTGTTTCACTACATTAATTTTTCAACTTCATCATTTCTGCTGACTTATATGTGATTTTTTTACATGATCAATAGTTGACCTCCACATTCGGTTTAACACTCAACACCAACCATGTACACATAGTACTAGAATACAAACATAACTGATGCACTCCCTCATCTTTTTTGTCATCTTTTTGAGACAGGGTTTCCTTATGCAGGCGAAGCTGGCCTCAAAGTCACAGCGGTCCTCCTGCCTCAGGTTCCCAAACGCAGGGATTACAGGTGAGTTCTACTGTGCCCAGCTTCCACTCCTTGATCTTGCAGATTAGTTTAGTTAGGGAAGAAGGCATGGGATACAAACTTACAATAAATGCTGAAAACGAACAATAGGAACAAAAGGAATTTTTTTCTTCTATGGAACAAGGAAAAAAATGTTACAAGGAGGTGATGAAGGAGGAGATCTTGAAGAGGAAGAGAAATATTATGGGTAGAGTAAGAGGAAAGGGTATTTCAGAAACCAAAACAGTATTGATAAAGTATTCACAATATAGGGCAGAAAACATTGACTTGAACAAATATGAGAAAATACAGGGAAAACCCATAAAAATATATACCCAACACTCGAAAAGCTACGACCCTGGTAAAAACGGGTGTATGGCCCATTCAAATCCTTATTGTTGGGGAGATTAGGGGAAATCAGGTTAGGCCCTGTAGATTTGGGGGGGGGTAAATGTGTCTGAGGGAAGGGGTCTTGGGGATTATACCCTCTCCTCACACGTTAACCACATGCTCTATCTCTGAGCTATAGCCTCTTTTCATGTGAGTTGCCCAGGCCATCCTCAAACTTGTGGTCCTTCTCCTTCAGCCTTCTAAGCATCCAGGAGTGCATTACCATTGCTGGCAGAAGCAGTGAAAAAGCATCTTGAGAAAAGAAAATTTCAAGTTTTGTCTTGTGCAGGGACAAGTTTTGACTTGTGCTTAAGTGAAGCAGAGTATTTTACACATAATACGTAGTGAAACACACACAAACACCCCTTGAGAGTTCAGTCTAAGAAGAAACGGAGGATTGAGCTTGGGTGTCAGCAGAGGATGTAAAGGAGGAATGTAATCTGAGGTTTTCAAAAGCAGTTTTCAGAAAAGAGGTAAAAAATTGGGAGTCATATGACGTTTAGGAATCGGAGAGCATAGGACATTTTATAAACAAGTGAACAGAAAAGACGACACAGCAAACTTGCTGTAAACAGAGTGCGTGGAGACAGTACTGAAAATGTGTAAAGTTCAGCAACAAGTGTGAAGAGCTAGGATAGCATTGCCTGTAGGGCAGGGAGGTGCAGGTTAGTGACTTAGAAGTGGAACATACAGTTCTGGCAGGGATCTATTCCTTTATTTATCTATTTATTTTTTAACTCTGAGGTGATTACCTGAGAATAATATTTATTTGATTTATTATTTCAATTAGCCACATATTTTTGTTTGTTTGATTTTCTGAGACAGGGTCTTGTTATTAGTCAGGCTTAGCTTGAACTCACCGTGCAGCCCAGGCTGAGCTCGAACCCTCCGACCCACCTGCCTCAGCCTCCCACGTGCTGGATTATAGCTGTGTGCCACCACGCCCTGCTGAATCAATTCATTTTTATTGTGCACTTCTGTACCAGTCTATTACATTCAATTAAGAGTAAATTTCTAAAAATTTGGCATATATTTCAAAACTCTAAGATGGTTTTATTTATAGCTAGCTTGCTTTCTTTCTTTCTTTCTTTCTTTCTTTCTTTCTTTCTTTCTTTCAGTAAGTGGCTCCTGTGGGCTCTTACGTGCCATACTGGCATCGTATGACACACAGAACAGCAAAGCAGTGACTTAGTGGACATAGCAGAGAGAGCCTAAAACTCACACATCTTCAAATTCGAAACTACTACTATTCTATACATTTCCCCTACACACAAATAAAGCAAAGATGCTCTTTAAGCTCAGTTCATTGGGCTGAATGACCTATAAATAAGGGGCTACAATTTGTCTCTTAATGAAACTACTGTTATAAACTCAAGTCCAGCTAAATTGTGCCTATCAAGAAACTACATTATAAAGGAAAAGGTACTAAAAAATCACTTTTCAATCAAAATATTAAAGACTCAGAAGTAATTTTTCCTAATGGAGAGAAAACAAGAAATACATAATTGACCCATGCACGAATCTGAACTTCAAATTTTTTTTCTTTTTTTGTCTTTTTCCTTTTTATCGGTACTGGGGATCGAACTCACGACTGCCTGCTTGCAAGGCAGGCACTTATGCCGCTGAGCTAAATCCCCAGCCCCTGAACTTCAAATTTAAACAGTATTTTTGCCTTTGAATTGAGACTATTCTTAACATTTTGATTAATGATAACAAAATTAAGTTCTTACCAGATTCTTGTATTTCAAAAGAACTTTTAACAACTAGATTTGTTTCTTCGGGTAAAACTATATGCTGATTAGAAATGCTTTGTGATATATTTTTACAGTTCTTTGTTTTACCTGTTAAAAAGAGAATAGGGAAACAACAAAAATGACCAAAACAGAAATAAGCATGAATTAATACTACTTGACAGTGGTCAGACAAATGTTAAACTTTAGACTTCATTATGATTCACTGGATGTTTTTAATATGCTGCTTAGTATGTCATTCATAAGTGCAAAGAGAATGATTTTTACCAAACTCGTTCTCTTTGGAAACAGAGTCTCACTTATATTGCCCAGGCTAGTCTCGAACTCTTGGGCTCTAGCAATTCTGTCTTGGTCTTCATCTGTGCACAATGTAATGCCTGATTAGTACTGGTGATTCTTAAACCTGAGGTTGTGTTAGGATCTTCTAGAAGGCTCAAGCATTTTTGTATTTAGCAAGTTCTCACATAATGCTGATATGCTTGCTTACAGTTGGAGCTGGAGAACTATTATACTGGAACACAGGACTGAGAACAACTGTCATTATATCTCATTCCTTTTATATTATTCAACAGTGTTTATCTTACAGTAATCCTCAACGCATTCTGCTGATTATCCAAAATGCCAACAAAAACCCTTTATCTATAAAATGCTTAGTCTAATAAAACAGCACTTATTTCCAATGTTCTGGGTAATGTTGCTTCACTCTGCTTGAGTTACTAAAGAGACTGGAAGAGACATTTCTTGTAAATGTCTTGAAAAAATCGGCCCACTTACCATAGTCAAACAGATCAAACAATGCTTGGAATGCTGGGTCTGATTCTGTTTGTTCCAATATGTCTTGTATAGCTTCTTCAGACATGTGGATTTCACTCTGCATGTATAAATTAAAGGCATGCTCTTAATTCAATCAATGTTTAATACCAGAAAGATAATTAGCAGACATTTGATATTTCTGAATTATGCTGCAGCATTCTCTTTCAAGAAAACTTCTGATTTTAAGTGTAACAATATGCTCATTAAAAAGAAAATAAGACTAGAAAACAGAAGATCAATTTTCCTTAATTTTACTTCCTAGAGTTAATCACTTTGGTGAACACACTCCTAAACATTAAAATGAACTTAGCACATAAAAAAATCATTCTCTAATATGTTCATTATCATATGATCATATTCTTTACATAAGTTTATAAAATGCTTTATAGGTTCTGGTATAAATATAAGTCTGGTATCTTTACACTAAGTGCTTTCTTCAAATATCTGCTGCAGCAAGGATTACTTAACTACTTGTATTGAAAAAGTAACATGCCAAAAGCTACCTGCAAGCTCTGTACCAGTGGACAAAAGGAAGGCAGTGAGCCTCTAACTCTAAGTGGTAGAATAATCTTGTAGGACATGTATTTTCAGTTCTTTTCTTCAGAGCAGGTCAGATTCTTTTGCTGGGAGTTTACAACTGACAATGCTATTTCTGGGAGACAGTAAGAACTAGGAGATACAGCGTTTACTCTCTAAATTTTGGGACTTGTCATAGTATCTGTAGTTTTACCCTTACATTTACTTTCAAAGGTACTAGGTGCAACTCTAGATTGTAAATTTGCTTTCTTTTGAGTTTACTTTTACTGCTTTACAAACCAAGACTCTACTTTGTCCTTTGAAAAATTTCCATTTTTAAAACTGTTATGTAAACCTGAATTTAAATTTTTTGCAAATACTGTGTACAAATAATATGAACAATCAAGAGCAGAAGACTGTGTCTTTTTTTTCTTTTCTAGTTTTGAGACAGAGTCTCATTCTATGATTCTGGTTGCTTCTAAGTCTTGGTGACCTTCCTGCCTCAGCCTCCTCAGGGCTGAAATTACAAGCATGTGCCACAATGTCCAGCGTGTCTTCACTTTCTTGTAACCTTCATACTATGGAAAAGTGCCATTAATTATGTTAAGTATCTGACATATTTGTGAAGAAAACATAGCAATGTGTTAAAGACTACAAAAAAAAAATCTAGTACAGATATACATTTGTGCTAAGATAGAAAGTGCTTTTTAAAAGTATTGCTGGCGCTGGCATATCGGGAAAAAAGATCACTGGTTTTACCCATAATTATCAACAAAAATCCTGCTATAATGAAATCATATAATAATGCTAATAAAAATGTTTATATTGTCCAAGATTACAAGTAAAAGGATAGTCGATCCCCGGTACCGATAAAAATGAAAAAGACAAAAAAAACCCAAAAAAACCCAACAAGTAAAAGGATATGCTACAGTCACAAACTTAGCTGCTCTTCAAAAAGTAACTATACGTGGACAAATATTAAAACATATATTGACAGGCATGGTGGTGTACGCCTGTAATCCCAGCACTTGGGAGACCTAAGTAGGAGATCACTGTAAATCTGAGGCCATACAGTGCGTTCAAAACCAGTGTGAACTGCAGAGCAAGACCCCGTCTCAGAAAACTGCAAAGGAAAGCCTGGATTAGGGTCCTTCTTCACGTCTTTTATTCACCATCACTGAGTACCATCGGTGACTATAACTTCTACTTCTCTTCTCTTGACAATAAGCCTCACACACACAACGATACATCTGGTTAGTACCTGTCTTTAAGTAGTACCTGGATTCATTTAACACACTATTTAATTATTTCTTTAAATTATTATACAGTTTGTAGCAGGAGAAATGTAATAAGCACTGTACAGTCCAGTCATTCATTATACACCAAGAAACATACAACAAGTGAACTGTTAAGTATTATGCAAACATCCAAAACTGGTATTTGTATGAATATAAATGAGTTTTAGTGGTAACCTGGTAAAGTTGGTTAGCTATTAGATGAATCAGAAAGATACTGTTACTTTCACCATGTAATAAAATATAAACTGACTCCGAAAAGTCCCTATCTAAGTGTGCTAAGTGGGGTTTGGGATACAGCTCAGCAGCACAGCGCTGACTTGGCATGCACGAGTGAGGTCATGAGTTTGATTTCCAGCAATCCCACTCACCCACAAAAAAAAAAGCTCAGGAAAAAATTACACCTGTGTAATTTAGCAATTAAGGGAAGACACTTTTTGTGTGTGTTTGTTGGGTCTCACTGTGCAGTTCAGGCTGGCTTTGAACTCATTTTGTAGTCCAGACTGGTTTTGAACTTGCAGTGATCCTCCCGAGTGCTGGGATTACAGGCACGCACCTCCACATCTGGCTACATCTTATTTTATCTGACTCTTTTGTTTAGTTTTTATTTTTGGATACAGGTCTCACTATGCAGTTCAGGCTAGTTTTGAACTCACTATGTAGCCCAGGCTGGGCTTGACCTCACAAAGATCCCCCTACCTCAGCCTCTCAAGTGCTAGGATTTTAAGTGTGCACCACCACGACTGGCTATATCTTATTTTAAACCTTTTGGCAATAGTTTTGAAATAAAACCAAAATATCATCAATTTTAACTATCACTATACATATTACCTACCTACACACCCACACACGCACGCACGCACCCACACGCACACCCTATCCATACCGGAAGTCCCAGGAGTTCATCAATTGAAGCTTCTGGTTCGGCAGGGTTGCTATCTGTTTGTTTGGGTACTTGAGCAATACTGTTATCACTGTAATACAGAAAGGAAAATCTAGCGTAATTATTCAATTAGGCAAAAATAGTTCAGTATTTTAAAAACAGAGCTCACCTAGTCAAAAATTTGTTAATGTTTTCTGCAAGCTTCTCTTGAAGAGATTTGTTGTTTAATATTTTTTCACGTGCATTTTCAATAACCATTTGCTGGAAAAGAAAGTCAATATTAAACAAGGATAGGAAAGAGTATTATGTCACTTATTTAAAAGACAGTCATATCAGTGAGCTGCAGCAGTCCTAGTCATGCAGGAAGCTAAAGTAGGAGGACCAGAAGCTCAGTAATTTGAAACCAGTATGTGCAACACATTGAGAACTTGTCTTAAAATACGTAATAAAATTTCTATCACTGGAAGCTAAATAGTTTCAATCAGTCTAAGCAGAATTTCAGAAGTTATAGTGGCTCCCTCCATATTAACACCTGCACATTTGAAAATTTGTTAAGTCTTTTCACAGATCTTTCACTGACTGTTTCTTCACTGCTTAGAGAATACCGTTCCACATTTTAGTTTAATCTAAAAATCTTTAAATAACCTGACTTCAATAAAGCGCCCTCTTATGCTGAATAATTTACCACCACAAAATATTTGAGATTTCTTAATATACAAATGTTTCTTCCTTTGGTGTATCTGCCCATGCTATCTATTCTGAACACACCCTGTCTTTATGCAACCCTACCCTCAATTTCACCGCAGTCTTTAAACTTAGGAGTATTTCAAGTTGTAAAGTTTTTGAATGTCACTTACTTTTTCTACTGCAAATGCATTTAGGTCCTGGAAATTCCGTATTGTTGAGTGAGGCCCAGACAAAGTAATACTTTTCCTTTGTGATTCACTGAAACACATTTTAAAACACTATCTTTTCACTACTATATCTAACAGATTCAACAGTAACTACCCATATAGACATAAACTTTTTTTGGTACCGGGAATTGATCTCACGACCTCATGCTTGCCAGGCAGGTACTTATGCCACTGAGCTAAATCCCTGGCCCCTATAGACATAAAACTTTAAAATCACTTTGGTAGAATAGGTATGTTCTCTCTTTTAGTATGAACGAAACAAAACACAGCAGAAAAAGCATTACCAAACTTGGATTATGGAGAAACAAATTTGAAATCTAATTTTATTACTTACTCACTACATATTTTTAAGTATATAAACTTTGACCCTATTACTCATTTTAAAATCAAATAAGGCCAAATGTATTATTGCACTTAGAGAAGACTGGAATAAATTATAGACACAGATTTTTATGTCGCTGAGAAAGTACATAACAAGGAAGTTTGTAATGATGTAAGCCTTAAATTAGCAATAGTCTAAAACTCAAAAACAAAACAAAACAAAACACCTATGGATTGCAAGATGAAAAAAAAAATCAGAAAAAATAATTAAATTTTTATCTCTTTCCTGAAAAATTGCTTAAACACAAAGTAGGACAGAAAGAAATTATTTTCAAAAACACCCTGAAAAGGTTATATTAATTTAAAACAAAATGTATGCTTGTGAGCCATAAAACATATTGGTATTATTTATGTTCATTTAAAAAGCATGTATTCTAACATACCTGAGATAACATCAACTACAAGACATACCATAATTTTATGTACCATCGAAGAAAAAATATTCAATGAAACAATGAAACTATTCAGTTTTGATATAGCATTTAGCAAAGGATGCAACTCAGTTTCAGGTTATAACGTGATAAAAATAATGTCTTCTGAAGTAGTTATCAATAGATAGTATTTGCTATGACTGTATTTACTATGTAAATATACTGCTACAATTCTATAGTGTTTTAAATGGTACTGGCAACATATTCTTTATAAAAATCATTTACCTTTTACGTCTGCCAGGTGACATTAAACTGGCGTGCGACTTCTTTTCCTGAGGACCAGGAATGATATTTAAAGGCTCTCCAGCTATATTTCAAGAAAACAAAACAGTAAGCTAAAGAAAGTGAGTCTAGACTTTAATGTGACAAGACATATATGTAATACACACACACATACATTTTTTGGTTTTGTTTTTTGAGCCAAAGTCTCTGTAATGTAGGCTGGTCATAAACTCAGTGATTCTGCTGCCTTAGTAACCTGAGTGCTTGGATTACAGGTGTGCACCACCACACCCGGCTAACCTCTACTGATTATTCTTATATGAAATTTAATAAACTTTTACTGGATACCTACTATGTGGATTGCACTGTGTAAGACATTAATATTAATGAAATATAGTACATGCTTTAAGTCTTTAAAATAAAATACAAAATACATGACAGAATGAAAAAGTTAAGAAAGGGAAGTGTTTTGAGGGTAGAAAAATGGAAATAGAAAGAGCTTCATGGACGACAACAGATTTTGGCTTACATAGAAGACTGTACACACTGTGAACGTAAGAGTACAGCCCCTAAATTCTAATTCAAACTCCATAATTAACTAGTTTGCTACCTCCTACTACATCATGTGTTTTGCCTATACAACAAACATATGGTCTTTATGTTTATTTATTGCTTTAAGACTAAAGAACATGTGGAAAGACACTCCTTATTCCATGAGTACATATGGGCATGAACAAAGATAAGGACGTAGTAACAACATAATGTATATTCTGTGTAAAATCTAACATAACAAGGTCTTTTCTTTTAATGTCTCAAATTTAAAATGTGAGTTCAAGGTTAGATTTCAATTAGCTTAGAAATATGAAGAATTCGGGGCTGGGGATTTAGCTCAGTGGCATAAGCACCTGCCTTGCAAGCATCTGGTCATGAGTTCAATCCCCTGAGGAACTCTAGAATAAAATGACTCTTAGATTTTATTTTGTGGTAAAGCTACCTAAAGCCTGTTTCAGGTCAAGCTCCTCTCATTTCTTTGGTCATAATTCTATACTGTAATAAAGAGACATTAACAGATCATATCATTTATACAATATGATTCACAATAAAATTAAAGAAACAAAACTTAAGCTTACTAGTTACAGTATCTTGGGACTGTGAATGATTGACCACTACAAAATTTGACCGCATTGGAGCTGAAATTTGGCCAGTTGGTTGAACAGGCTGTGCAGCCGTCAAAGGAGCAGTAGTAAACTGTGCTGAAACGTAAGGTAAAACCAGCAAATCCGAACTGACAGGAGCCGCCTGAGATGCAAGCCTTCTTTGTCGTTTGATCTCTGCAATTCCATTTCTTGTTCGGACTGTAAACACACAAGCATTAAAAGTAATGTCAGAGTAGTTTGGGATTATGTTGCCATGATGAGTGATCTTATACACAGTACTATACACTCTCAGATCCACAAATAAAAAATGCTTCTTAAAAATATCGAAGTAATTTGATAATTTCACAACAAACTGTAAGTTCAGGAGTACCATTGTTCTGCAATAATTCACACTGTTAACACCCTCACAAATTAAAAAATCTGAAACTTTAAAATGAAAATTAAAAGATGGCACTATATGAGAGCCAATGGAGAAATACAGGGAATGTATCTTATATATACATATAAAATGATAAATGAGAATATTTCCTACTACGACAATAATTATACTCAGCAAAAAGGTAGTTTGAACAAAACAAATATCTAGCATTTATGTTAACTGAAATGTTCACTAAACAAAGTTTGAGATAATTCTCAGCACTATTTAAAGTTGAATACCAACCTCGCTGACTGGCAGCCAATCCCGGGGAACTCTGCATGCTCCTAACAAATAAAACAAAGTAGTTTATTGAAAATTTTTGTCGCTAATATTCTCAGCTTTAGTTACGTAAACTATGAGTTAAAATGTGATATTCCTTTCTAAGAAAAAAAAATTTAACACATTTTCTTGGTAACCAATTCTCTTTTGCATTAGGAGAAAAAGTGGCATACAAACATATTTAAACAACATAATTTTAGCAATGAAGTTCCCATCCGACTCAATATGGATTACAGTGCTTTGACTTTCAATAGTTTGGTGTGATTTGAGAAATTCCATACATTTAAGTAAGCTATACATGAAGTATAATATTTTCAATTATATTTCTTAATTTACAGAGGCTTTCCCAAAAAGAAATAGATTTCACATACATCAATACTTCAGAATCCCAAAGTTCATGGCAAGGAACATTCTGGTTTTGGTAAATTTGACTATGAGATTATCTCATCCCAACCCTAAAGAAAGACAAAAGCAAACACAAAATCTCGAAGTGCAAGCTAATTCTTTTATTATGAATTATAATTTCTAGACATATATTTAGTGAGGAGTCACAGACACTAAGTCTTTGTCCTAAGGATGTGTCAAGCAAGTCCCCATCGAAAGAGCCACAAAACTAACTGAACTGGATGTACCACTTTCAAAAATATATAAAACAAATTCGGAGTAAACCTGACTAAAAATCCTTTCTTTTGGTAGGCATGGTGGCACATGCTTACAATCCTAGCAAGCTGGGAGGCCAACACAGGAGAATCACCAGTTTGACCTCAGCCTGGGCAACTTAGCAAGAACCTATCTCAAAATAAAGAAGAAGGGTTAGGCTCAGTGTGACAGTCTTAGGCCCAATCACAGCACTTTTAGAAGAGAACCCTTTCTTTATGTAAAACTATGTCAATAAAATAATTCATTTATAAATACTAAACTGTGTATTATAAAACCATGTATTATAAATACTAAATTGTGAATGCTTTTAAAGATTATTTGCAAAGACAAAAAGACCAGGAAAAGGAAATAAAGATAAGATTACCAAGTATAGATGTAGTCTAAGCTTAGCATAAAAGCATTTGGTGTTGTTACAGAGTTTAAATGAGTGAAGAAAATGAAGCCTTTGCTGGTTAGATGGGACATTCACTTGTATCTCTGGATAAAAAGGTAAGAAACTGTGATTTTCATAATAGGTTTACATAGTCAAATCAGAGACCTCATAAAATTCATACCAATGATGCTGAAATTGGCATTTCAAGGCTGCAAACTACATAAAGGCAAGCCATTAGCACCCTGAGAAAATTCTAAAGAAAGATTACAGAAGTAACATTCTTTTTCATATTTGTTTCTTCACAAGGGCAGCATCAACTCAGACCTGGGTTCAACATATCATTCTCTGAATATGTAATAAATAAAAAGGCAGTTAAGAGAACTGGCAATAGGATAACAAACATTCCAGTCCAAGTCCTGCCTCTAAGTTGCTACACAAACCTTGGGAATATCATTAAGCTTCTACATGCCCCAATTTCTTCCTCTGTAAATATTTTGTTAAAATGTAGTTTATTTCAGCTGGGAGTTATGGTGCAAGTCAGTAATGTCACCACTCTCAAAGGTGAGGCTGGACCGTGAGCCAACCTGACAACTAAAGAGCAACTTTGCCTCAAAATAAAAATATAGCTCAGTGTAAAAGCTTTGTTTGTTACAGTTTTTATCTAGCTACCCCCCATGCTTTATGAACTCACAGGTGAGGTTTTCGGAAGCTGACTGAATCATGGGGTATGACACTCATCAGTGGATTAGTCCATGGATGAGCGTAATAGCTGAATGTGATGCTGGGCAGTGAGGCTTGGTGGCTAGAGGTGGCTCACTGGGGCACAGCCTGGAAAGGTCTCTTTTCTCCCTTCCTTGATTCTGTTTCCTGTAGGCCATCCCATGAGCTATCTCTCCTTCACGTGCTGCCTTGCCTGATAGACTGAAACCTCTACAAATTTTGAGCCAAATAAACCTTTATTCCTTTAAGTTGCAGGTGTTGGGTATGGTGTCCTAGCTACAAGAAAGTAACTAAAATAGGGTTCAGTCCCTTGAGCCACTACTGAAAAAAAAAGCTGCAATTTTTCTCAAATTATTTCAACCAAAGACTACGAAACACCAAAAACCTCTACAATTATTTCAAAATTAGGTAAGTGTTATATAAGTGTACTATGTATATGATAAAATGATTTAAAGTATTTGCATTCCAAAATCATTATGGACATTTTAATTAGTACCTGATCTGAGAAAGTGTATGGTCTAACTTCTTCCACAGAGATGACATTATTGCTGGGACATCATTTGATGTTTCTAAATTGTAAGAGGAAATAAACTCAGTTGGAGAAAACTTATCATCCAAATTGAACAAAGACACACCCACAAAAAAAAAAAAAAAATCACAGTGAAAGAAAACCTCTCTCTATTGTGGGCATTTTTTTTTTTTTGGTACCGGGGATCAAACTTAAGATCTCAAGCTTGCCAGGCAAGTGGCCTGTGCCACTGAACTAAATCCCCAGCCCCTACTGCAGACATTATTTTGGGAACTGAAATGCCTGTTTAAAAAATGGCCAGGAGAGGTGCTTACTTCTGTTTTTTTCAGCCGTGTATACCAGACATGACATGAGTAGAAATGGACACCCAAGTTCAGCAGCTTTTTTTTTTTTGTCTTTTTCCTTTTTATCGGTACTGGGTAACCCACAACTGCCTGCTTGCAAGGCAGGTGCTTATGCTGCCGAGCTAAATCCCCAGCCCCTAGCAGCTTTTTTTGTAAGGCCCAAAATTTCATAATCTTTTGGGTTAATAAGACAACTATAATATCATGTGATATTTGAAAGTGAATTAAATTTTTTATAACAAATATCATAAAGATTACACAAAAAGTCTTTGTTGAAATTTAGCTGATTATTTTGCATTGTAAAATAGGTTTAAACAATACTTCTCTCTCACTGGGGTAATAGTCACACTAAATGAAATAAAACATGAAAGTAGCAACACGTATATAAACAGTACTTAATAAATGTTAAGCTATTTCTTTTATGTTATTATTTTATGCTTTTTTTTTGAGACAGGGTCTTGCTCTGCACTTCAGGCTGGCCTCAAACTCTCAGGGAGTATAACACTAATTTGCGAATGCAGCTACAGAAACTGTATAATAGACTAAACTAACAGAATCTATTCTCTAAATCACTGCTGATTTTGGAAAGTACTATTTTATTCTCTAGTAACTACCATATTTCCTCAAAAATAAGCTCTTACTGGAAAAAAAAGCACTAGCATGATTTTTCAGATGTTTTATATATCAGTTATACCCCCAAAATAACCCTTAGTTAAAACTAATACCCAGATGGATGGAGTTAATACACAGGGCAGATGTACTGAATTATAAAATAGTATTAATACATAATTAAATATAAATGAATAACATCATTGACATGAATACTTAAATAAAATAAATTATAATTAAGTATTTGTAAGTTCCTAAGCAGGTGCTTTTGGATGGGAGTAAACATATGAACTAATTGCCAAATACCCAATCAAGAGTACAGACAATAAATGAATGACGTACATACTTGATAACGAATGGATGTGATTGTGTCTAATACGGATCTTCATAATTTAATAGGTAGTATGTTGTAATGGATGTATTTTCTTTTTTCGGGAACAGATGTATTTGATGCATTTGTGAAATACACATTTTCTGAATTTTGGTGCCTGCGGTTTTTTACCACTTTTGTGTGCACCATCCTTCGTAACTGTCATCATTTTTGTTGCCACTCCTGTCTCAGAAGTCAGTTAACACCTGACTTAATGGAAAGTTAGTGAAACCTAACCTGCAAAAGGTTTTAACTTGGGCGAAGAATTCCTGGGATAAAATCACTGACAACTGTGCTGCCCATGTACCATGAGCAGGCGACACACACAAGTAGTGTTCATTCAAGTGTTCACGCTGCACAGGAGATCGGAGCCAATGGCTCTGTAGGAAACGCAGGCTGGAGGGTTACGCTAATGTTCCAGAAGATGGTAAGATTGTGTTTGAATACATGCAGATTTTTGTACACAAAGAAAAATGTAAGACCCAGTCTTATGTTAGGGGAAATATAGTCAGAACCAGGACTTTATGATTGTGTTCATACTCACATACACAGAAGTTAAACTTAAAATGATTTTAGGAGCTGGGGATTTAGCTCCGTGGCATAAGTGCCTGCCTGGCAAGCATGAGGTTGTAAGCGCGATGCCTGGTACCAAAAAGGAAAAAAAAAAAAAGATTTTAAATTTTGTAACACACAGCAATGCCCACTCATCAGTTTAGGTAACCTGGGGTTAAAAGAGTTTTATGTCTTATTTTTGTTTATATCTGTTAATATTCATATTTTTATTTTTTTATTACTCAATGCAAACACAAATGAATTAGATGTTTCTTAGTAAAATTTATGCCATAACTGAAAAGTTTTGTCGAGGTTTTGAGATGTGTTTTAATTAGAAACTTTTAAAAATATACTAATAGACAATGTTATATAAAACTAGTAAGACAAAACAAAATCCCTGGACTTGAATTACCTTTTGCTTTCATAGCTACATATTCATTCAAAATTGTTGTCAAGTTTTTTCCAAATAGGGACTGAAAAGGAAAAGATCAAATATTACTAAAATTATATCACAATATTAAGTAATTTCCCACCATGACACATTCTGTCATTCAAAGACTAGTAAAAGATCTGGATTGAGAAGAGTGATGAGGAAAGGGTAAACAAGGTCGTCACAAATGCAGTCACTCAAGTTACAGGTCTTATCACATCTTCTGAGGGTAAACAGCCTGGGCACTGTGGTTATGCGTTTTCTTGACTAAGACAATCCATAGGTAGAAAAGCAGTTTTTCAGCTGGGAGGTATAGATTCAGATACATGACTATTTAAAAATAAGGACAGAGTCCTAATCTGCTCTTGCTATCCTGAAAGCCATGTGAACCTGTCAAAGAACAAAGTGAAAAACTGAACACTCAAGACACATCCTTCCTGTAAATCACTGCTGTTCTCATTTCTTCATTTATCAATCTATCTATTTTTGTCTCTTCTAGTTCCACTATTACTATGACTCAAGGGCAGGGTTTTATAACCTCAAGTTTAAGATCATATAATACAGAAGAGCAAGGATTTTGTAGCTTACAGTACTAATTTCAAATTCAACACTTACATGTGAATTTGACTTGTAAGACTAAATTTATAAGAACTACTTTCATATATAAAAATTGACAAATAATGCTTAATTCACAGAAACTTTTGCTAAAAGATTGGGACATGTCTGATACATCCTAGGCAACTATTACAGTTTCCTGTCTCTTCCTGAACCTTCAAAAGAGCAGATTTCTAATTGGTTCTTCTTTCTTGACTAAAGCTTGAGAAAGAATGGGATTTGCCTTAATATTACCTTGGTAGTTATGCTTTGTTCTACTTATAATAAGTAATTAATTATTAACTACTTAACAGTCCAATTACTAAAATACAAATAACCAAAAATTACATTTTTTGTTTTTGTAGGATACCACGAAGTATAAAAATGACGATGCTGTTAAATGTATTCAACACAAGAATTGACTGGTTGAAATGACACCTGCCCCAGTGATGCTTGGGACAGTCAATAAGGAAACAAATGTGCTGTATGAGTGACCTCGGTGTAAATTTTTAAGTGATTAACTGCCAAATGACTAAAGACTTAGTTACTTTTTGCACAGAAACTCTTAATCTTGTCAACTGTGCTATAGATTCAGACATGCACATGAAATTTCTACCACCTCATAGATGACAGCCATCCATTCCCTGTGGCCTCACCAAAGGGAATGACATAAGACCAACAGAATGACAGAAGGAGGAATCAACCTCCATATTCTTAGAATACCTCTATTCTCTTTTTCGCAGTTTGCTTTTTTTCCTCCTGTTAATATTTTGGGATCCTTGCAAGTAATCAAAAGTAACACATAAAGTACAACAAAGAAATCTAGCACTACTTACTTGTAAGAACTTTATGTACATAATTAAATCTTTTTGAACTTTGGTTTCCTTATTTAAGAAAAGGGACACCAAGTATGTACCTTAAATAAACAAGATTTTTAAGTTTTTCTTTTTTTTAATTTAAGAGTCAGCGAAGAATTCCACAGGTAGTTCACAGTTCCTATATAGCCTGTATTCTGCATCCTGGAATGTTAACATCTTTGAAACCACTGCATTTTTTATCTGAGAAATAATATTAACCATATTGTAAACTTTATTCAAATTTTGCCAATTCTTTTCCCCAGTACTTCTGTTCCACAATTCAGCCTACCGGGTGTATTCAGATATCATATCTCTTTTTTTCTTGGTACTGGGGATAGAACTCATGACCGTGTGCAAGGCAGGTGCTTATGCAGCTGAGCTAAATCCCCGGCCCCATCATATCTCTTTAGTCTCCTCTGAATTGTGTTTCTCATTAAGCTTGACCTAGAAACTTCTGATTGCTAGTCTTCCAATTGTTCTTTTTCAGAACTGTTTGGGCTCTATTGGATCCCTTTCCTTACAAAATTTACAGTTCCCCATGTTCTTATCTGCAAAATTGTTTATGAAGATTTTTAAATGTGGTAAGTCTGTAATAAATTGGGGAGAGTAGACTTAAACTTGAGTATTTCATCACATAGACACAAAAATAATTTTCCTTTAATTTGTACCTTAGATTTCTTTCATGCAGTTTTGAACACAGGGACCCCCAAATATTTTTTACACTAAATATTTTGTTGTTTGTTACTATTATAAATAGGCATCAAAAAATTTAAATCCTAATCCTTCACTGTATGTACACAGAAATACAACAGGTTTTTGTATGTATTATATGATACAACCTAGATCAACTGTAGTTTTAAAAAATTATTTTAGGTTTCCTACTTAGAAAATCAATTCTGTATGGTTAAAGCATCTCTAAAGAGCCATGTTTAAGACAGAATGCCAAATGCCAAATAAAATAACAATTCTAAAATGTATATATTATATATCAAATGATGGTTTATTGGTCAGGTGATATAAAGAAGTGACACCGTGAGCCAAATAAACTTCTATTAAAAAAGAAAAGTCTGGGACAAGCATTAGTGAAACTAATCAGGATGACGGTTTCATTTAAAAATGATTCTTGCTCTGGGAGACTGAGGCGGGAAGACGCCAAGTTTGAGTCCACTTGGGCACAGAGAGAGAATGCCTCAAAAGAGAAAAAGTATTAAAATGGCTGGGGAGCTCAGTGTTAAATTTCTAGGTTCAATCCCTAGTATCACTGGGAAAAAACAAAAACCAAAAAATTGATCTCCAAGAGATAAAGCTGTAATTCACTAAGAGGTTTGGCATAAACATGTTAAAGAATAGCTGGCCTTTTTGGGGGTCTTATTAGTTATGGATAAATATAAAGCACTGAATTTTTGCCAATTTTGACTTTGTTAATAAGCTGATTTTTAAAAACTTTTTTTTATTGAGATGGGGCATTGTTTTATTGCTCAGACTGTTTTCAAATTTCTAAGTTCAAGTGATCCTCCCACTTCCGCCTCCCAAGTAGCTGGGACTGTAGGCACACACTTTGTACTGGCTTTGGTGAGTTGATTTTAAAGACAGTGTTTAGTCCATTGTGTGATCAGTGATGAAATTTTTCCATTAATCAACAAGTCACTCACCAGTAAGCAGGCTGGGATAAAACCTTCATCTGTACAGTGTTCTGCATATTCTTTTAAATCTGAACTTTCCAATATAAAGGTCTGGCAGGTAGAAGTGAGGTTTTCTTGTTGTAAGTAACCTAAATGAAAAAATATTTAAGGACCTTCAGTAAATTGTGCTTGTTGGTAAAACTGCTATTGAAAATGCAAGTGCAAATACCAGAAGTATACATGGAGTCCCAAGCAGAATGTGCTTGCCAGAAAACAGCAAGTTGTACTGCATAAAAAAATAAAGTTCATAGAATAGGTGGCTTCTTCAAAGAAATACTACTAGCTAATGATGTAAAATGAGGTGTCTGATAAAGTGTAATTATTTTATAGCAATGCTTATAGGAAGATGAAATGATAAATAAATAATTTTTAATTTTACCCTTTGGGAATCGAAGCATCATCAAATCCAACAAGAATCTGAAGTTTAATTTAATCAGTAAAAGTCAAGAGAGTTGTTGACTGCATGGCAATATATTAAAGCATACATAAACTCCACTGGTAAGCAGCATAAAAATTTACTGGCTCCCAGCATTTAAGAAAATCAATGTCCAATCACTGAATATCCACTCTTTTCTTTGTTTCTCCTTGAAATAAAATGGATTTGAATATCAATTCTTAAACCAAGCATGAAGGTGTATTCCTGTAATCTGGCGATGAAGAGGCTGATGCAGAAGGACTTCTGTGAGTCCAAGGCCAATCTGGGCTATATAATGAGTTCAAGGCCAGTGGAACTGCATGGCAAGACCCTATCTCAAAAAACAAACAAACAAAAAAAACCTCTTTACAGAACACAGAGTTTACCATATAGTATTTGTGTTGTGTGTTTTTCATATTTCACTCAACATTGTCTTTTCCAGGTGCATCTGTTTTCCTACAATGTGTCAAATTCATCTTTCTTTACAGCTGAGTAGTATTCCTGTACATAGCATCTAATCATCTGGATGGACACACAGACTACTTCTGGGATTTTACTATTACGAATTGTGCTGCTATAAACACTGGTACACATGTACTGCTATAGTGTGATGTTTTAAGCTTTTCTGGAAGCAAAAAAGGAAGATAGCTAGGTCATATGGAATTTCCAACTTTGGTTCTTTAAGAAATCTCCACACTGATTTCCACAATGCTTGTATTAATTCACATTAATATCACATTCATCACAGTCACACCAGTACTTATTTTTTGACTGGCATCTGTCATCTGAGAAGACGAAAGTACAAACCAAGAGAAAAACATAGAAAGGATAGAAGCAGACAAGGGGGAGGATATCTTGCAGATGGGAAGGGGTCTAGGGGCCAAGGGTAAAGGGTGATGGGTGAGGGGGAAGAAGGTAGAGTTAAGGACCCACATATAGGGTCCTAATAACCTCAATGAATGTGAATATCATATGCTACAAATATGAACTAAGATTAACAATAACAAGAAATAAAAGGGGGAAGGGCAATTATAGGAGGTGGGCAAAAGTGGGAGGGAAGGGAATTATAAAAGGAAGCTGTATTATACGCATGGACCAACTCCCCAAGATAACTGTAAAATGTGTGTATGGGCAAACATGTACTGATAAATTCTTAAAAAGAATAGAGTCTATAGTTCAGCAAATTCATTAACAAGCAACAGATAAAACAACAAATATGGGGAAAGCAGAGTTAGATTATAAAAACTGTCACACTGTGTTACTTAAAATGTTCAATTTTAAACACACACACACACACAGTAACAAATATGACTCCTATAAAGGGACAGGAGGGGGAAGCTGACAGAAACAGTCCCAAAGGAAGTTCAGACATTGAACTTAAGACTTTGAACTATTTTCAAATAAATCTGGAGAACTAAATGAAATGATTGGAAATTTGAGGATGCTGTCTGATCAAACCAAACCGTAAATACCAATAGCTGAATCAAAATTCTAGACTTGAGTGCTCGCTTCGGTGATACTAAATGAATGTTACAGAGAAGATGAGCATGGCCCTGGCACAAGGATGACATGCCTTATAAGAAACACTAAAAGGAAAGTTCTTCCAGCTAAAGTGAAAGACACTGGAAAGTAATCTAAATCTACATAAAAATAACACTAGTAAAGGTAACTACAAACATAAATGTAAAATAAGCTGGGGTAGTCACTCATTTCAGTAACACCAGCACTTGGAAGGCTGAGCTAAGAGGATCACAAGCTTTAAGTTAGCCTGACTACAAGGTAAGACCCTGTTTCCAAGAAAATGCACATATATGGGTATGTGTGTGTGGGGGGGAGACATTCTGTATATAACTTTTTTCTTTGCTTAAAAAGACAAATGCATAGATGGAATTTATAACTTTTATTTCAAAAATCATGAGGAAGAAAAGGGTGCTATATAGGACAAAAGTTACCAAATGAGAACCAGCAACTGGACAGATTATGTTAATATCAGATAAGGCAGACATTAAGACAAACAATGTTACTATAGACAATTATGAAAGGGTCTACCCACCCAAAAAATTACAACACAGACACACCCAACAACTGAGTCTCCAAAACATGAAGCAAACGCTGACAGAAGAAACAGACAATTCAATAATACAAGGGGGAGACTCAACAACTGCACTTTTAGTAACAACTAGCACAACTACAAAGAAGATCTGAACAATACTGTAAGCTAACCAGAGCTCACATCAGTAGAACACTCCACACTAAGAGCACACATTTTACTTAAGTGTAGATGGAATATCCAGTAGGGACCACGTATATAAAACAAGTCTCCTATGTTTAAAAGGCCTGAAGTCTTAGAGTATGCTCTTGGACCACAGCGGAATGAAATTAGTCAGTAGCATAAGAAAATGTAGAAAATAAACAACATGTGTGGAAACTAAACAGCATGTTTCTAAATAACACGGTCAAAGAAGAACTTAGTGTCTTGAGATTAAATGAAAAAAAAAAACATGGCATACCAACATTTGTAAGATACAGCTAAAACGGTGTATGGTAGATATTTACAGCTGTAAACACCTGTATGAAAAACATGAAAAATCTTAAATCAGTAACTTAATGTTGCACCTACGGAACTAGTAAAAGAGCAAACTAAGTCCATAGCAAACAGAAGGAAAAAATGTTAGGGTAGAAATAAAAAGGAAGTAAGAAAAACCAATGAAGGCCAAGGATTTAGCTTAGCAGTATAAGCACCTGCATGGCTGGTGTGAGGTGGTGAGTTCAATCGCTGGTACCAAAATAAAAAACAGAAAAGAAAAACCAATGAAACCGAAAGTTGCTCCTCTGAAAAGATGAAAAACAAAACAAAAACAAAAACCATATGTAGATCAACCAAGCCACAGCTCAAATTATGAAAATCAGCCAAGCCAAGCGGAAATACCTAGAATCTAGCACTCTGGGAGGATTATTTCACAAGTTTCAAGCACTGTCTGGGCAAAGTGAGCAACTGTGTCAAAATAAAACATAAGCAGGGTTGGGGGATACTACTTGATGTGAAGGTTCAAACTCTGACACTGCGCATGGTGGTCCATGCCTGTAACCCCAGTGCCCAGGAGGCTACGACAAGAGGATTGCTCCAAGTTCAAGGCCAGCCTGGACTACATTGAACTGAGTTTGAGGTCAGCATGAAATGCATAGTGAAACCTTGTCTCAAAACAAAAACAAAAAAACCTGCCCTGAGAAGCAATACATGAAGAAAATGTAAAATCAAGTCACCTTACTAGTGATTTCTATGAAACACTAAACAGAAGAATTAACATCAATCCTTCACAAATTCTTTTAAAGTAATATATTAATAAAGGACAAAAACCACATTATTCCTTTAATATAGGCAGAAAAACAATGTGATGTAATCTAACACCTTTTCATGATAAGAACAGTAGGACTACCTGGAGATTTTCAATGAAAAAGACTCTAAGCCTCCTCTACAAAAGCAGAGATAACAGAAGGATATCTGCTCTTGCCATTTTCCTTCTCCTTTGCTTATTCTGTGGTGCCAGGAACCGAAGCTAGGGCCTTGCAGTGCGGAGTTACACCCTCAACCCCTTTTTCTTTAGTCTGAGCTAGGGTTTTGCTAAATTGTACAGGCTGGGCAGATTTGAGATCTAGTTCCAAGTAGCTCGGATTACTAGCCTGTGTCACACCAGACTTGCTCTTGCTCCTTATGTTCAAAATGAAGTTACACTGGAAGTTCTATCACAGACAATTAGGAAACTGAAATAAAATCCTGTTTGGAAAACAAAAGGTCAAACTATATTTGCAGATGATATGATGTCTTAAATGGATCAAATATCTAAATGTAAAACCTCAAACAACAAAACGCTTAGGAAAAACAATACGTTTTTGTGACCCTGAATTGAGTGATGATTTTTCTTTTGGTGGGGCAGGGGCAGAGTCTCACTTTGTAGTACAGGCTGGCTTTGAACTCAGGACAATCCTTTGGCCTCTGCTTCCCAAGTGCAGGACACCACGTGTTCACCACCAAGCCTAGTTGAGCAACGATTTCTTTTTTTTTTTTTTTTTTGCGGTACCAGGGATTGAACTCAGGATCCTGCACTTACTAGGCAGGCGCTTATGCCACTGAGCTAAATCCCCAGCCCTGAGCAACGATTTCTTAGGTACAACACTTAACATGTTCCTGACAGCTTGAACACAGATGACTATTCTATCAGGCAGCCGGTACCCCATAGATGGCAGAAAATGGATCTTACCACTTTTATCAATCTTTCTGCTAATAAAATTACTAAAAAGTTTGGAAGTGGACCAAATCTACTCAGTTACCTGAACTTGAATAATTACTGCCCAAATACAAATTATCAACAATTGAATTTTTAAATTTCATTAAGTCAAGAAATTTCTCTAGGGGCTGGGGCATAAATACCTGCCTGGCAAGCATGAGGTCATGAGCTCGATCCCCGGTACCCAAAAAAACAAAACAAAACAAAACAAAACAAACCCAAAAAAACTCCCTCCATAGTTTATCGTTAATTCTCTAATTTTAACGTGGAAATCTTACAAATACTCCATTACTGGTGCATATAATACACATTACTGCTATAACACAAATTACTTTTTAAATCATTCTAGTTAATGTTTTTCTTAAGAGACTGCAATATGCTAACATTCAGACTGCTGAATCAACCCTTTCTTTGTATTATAATCAGAGACCCACGGAGGGTGCGCATGGTGGTCCATGCCTGTAACCCCAGTGCCCAGGAGGCTACGACAAGAGGATTGCTCCAAGTTCAAGGCCAGCCTGGACTACATTGAACTGAGTTTGAGGTCAGCATGAAATGCATAGTGAAACCTTGTCTCAAAACAAAAACAAAAAAACCTGCCCTGAGAAGCAATACAAGCCACCCACAGAGACAGTTGTGTATTTATCACTAGTAGTTTGAGTTGGCAGAAATGACTGAATTCAAATCAGTCACCCAGCAGTGAGACACAAGAATTATGGTCCCTTTGTGAATGTTAAAATACAAGCAACCATAGAAAAAAGAAATGGAACATCAAAATTTACATCTTTTATCCTTCCAAGTAAAAAAGTGAAAAAAAAACTAATAAAATGGGATAAAATATCTGCAAAGGGTCTAGAAACCAAACTGTATAATGAACTCTTAAAGGACAATAAAGATGGACCTTTCTTCAAAGAAGGTATATAAACTGTTAACAAGTATATGAAAAGAGAAGTTCAACAACATTAATTATTAGAAAAATGTAAAACCGCCACCCACTTGTCATCTCAGTTTCTCAGGAAGCTGAGGCAGGAGGATTGCCAAGTTTGAAGCCAGCCTGGGCAACTCAGTGAGATTCTCATCTCAAGCTCATTGGTACAGAACTTGCCCAGAGGTAGGAGACCCATCGTTTGATCCTCAGCACAAAGGTGTGGGTGGAGAGTAAAAGAAAAAGCAAAGACCACAATATTACCAGATTATGCTAGGATGGAAGTACTAACACCTGCTACAACACAGATCAACTTTGTACACATGCTAAGTGAAAGAAGTCAGACCAAAGGGGGAAAATCACATATTATACTTCATTTACATGCAATGATCAGAAGCAGCAAATCCTTACACAGTACAAAGTGGACCCACATGCTATATACACAGTGGTTGCCTGAGAATGGGGACAGGAGAAATCAATAAAATTGGGAGCGGACATTTTAACAATGCATGTGTGGGTTTTAGGGGAAGGGAGCAGCACCGGGGATTACATACAACATAGGGCTTTCTTCTCAGAATTGGGGAAATGTTTTAGAATTACGGGTGACGGCCTTATAACACCACGAACATACTAAAAACCCACAGAATTCTACTTTGTTATGTCGATTACACATCTCAGTAAAAATATTCTGAATTCTGAACATGTCATATGAAGCTACCCCTGCTTTGTATCAACTTTCTTTTCAACTTCAGGTCGTCCCACTCTTCCTCTTTCAAACCACAAACATGAATGATCTTGTTTTAAGGCCATTATTGTGGGCAGCAAATCTCAGCCTAGTTAACCTGCACTCATTTTTGAGTCCTCTATGTACCATACTCTTTTTGCCTATATTCTTAATGCCTACCCAATGATAGAATTTTCGGTGCAGCTAAAAAGATAAGAAATATGAAATAAAAGTGGCCTTTATTTTAAGAATGTGGAGAGAGACTCCATGACCTCCGGGGTCTGGCTTTCTGTCTCCCCTACACGCGGTGTGGGGACATACATATAGCTTAGGTTTGGGGTGGTGCCTAAGGGGCATTACTGATGCACAGGTAGCCCACTGGAATTCATTTCGCACCTAGGTACATTGCCTCGGGGTGGGAAAGGTAACCTCAAGATAGAGCCTCTTGGTTCCGCCTCCCAGCCTCCCACCGCTGCTGCTTCCAATCCAGGGCAAAATTCTTTCACCCAATGCTTATGAATATTCCCTTACACTGCCTTTTAATGTACTTATCTCAAGGTTGGTATAACTGTAAATTCTTGTTTGTTAGTTACTAAAGAAATAGGTCTAAGGCAGTGCAGTAAACCTTTCAGAACTTTCAACGATATAAACCAGCCCACTGTGCA